AGAGATGCAAGAAAGAATAGGATTACACTAAGCAGTTACTTTGAAAAGAATGACACAGTAGCGTGTACACAGATTCAGATTAAAGAAAAAAAGTAGAAAAGGTTACAATGATTTTGATGACAGTTCACGCGACCTCTTACATCCTAAGTCGATTTTAAACTACTTTTTACTATTACTTCGAAATTTTATAATCTACTTATATCTAAAACATGCGTATTACAACAGTTACATTATAAAAAAAAACTAAGAATTAATTGGGCAACTAAAGGTACAAAAATATGGATATCAGCATTATTTTAATATTTCTTTCTTAACAAGTGAAAACAATGATCGACGATATTTCAATCATTAAAAATTCAAGTTGCAAGAGCTGAAATTTTGACTTACTGGAACAAGTTTTTCTGTTATTTGTTCTTGGAAACAAGAATTATTTGCTATTAGTATTCAAAACAAAACAAAAAATATTTAGTTCTCTACACAAAATAGATCATGATACTGTAATAAGAAAATTGGTCGTTGAAAAAAGAAGGTTAGTACGTCAGTTTGGTTAGCCATTTCCTAGATTTAAATATGATATTTCTTTTTCGCTTCTGGGACACTGCGTACGTTCGACTTCAATTTATTCAAATGGGTCACACTCGACGACATGTTAGCCTGATGAGTTTGGGCAAGCAGGCAATGACTCATCGTCATTCCACATTATTGCCGTGGCCATTTCTTATTAGCGCGATTATGCAAATCACCTAATATTCGCTGAATCAGTTGATTGGGCTTGGGTGCGGTTCGCACTACAGGCTTTGACGCTGTCCTTTTTTTATAAAGCTTTGTTCTATGTTTTTTTTTACTTTCTTTTGTTCAGGGTGCGTCAGGAACCTTTTATTTTTACTTTTTGCGCTACCAATGTACGTTTTTGTGTCTACTTTTTATAAGGTTACCAGCCACGCTGTGTTGAAAACTGATTTATGAGTTAAGGTAATGATAGCACATGAGGTTAAGCTTCGTAAAGAAAATTTTGTAATTTTTGGAAGAAAAGTCTTAATTTTCCCTTTGCGTAAGTACTTGATAACATCCGCAAGAGAATATAATAACGTGCTATCGATGAAAAAAAAAGAGAATGATTTAAGGCGGTAGGGAACTGTCAAATGTTTCTGCGGAGCTTGACCACTCCTGGTATAAAGGCATTTGCGCAGAATAAGGGTGGTTGATTGAGTGGCTCTCATCTGTAACTTAAAGGACACTGAAGTGAAAATAATTTTTTTTTTTTTCTAAAAAGCCTAATTGGGACACGTATACGAAGAAAAAATATTACCACGATAAATAATTGTTTTTCGAGGAATATTTACGCCGCAAGACGCAATTTAGGTGCAGAAGGTGGAGAGCGCAGCACGCTAAGCCCCACCCCGTGCTCACAAATTGCTTACATCTTTCATTGGCTGGAGCGATGATTGACGTTTGAAAGGTTAGCTGTAAGTTTGTATCTCCGTATGTCGTATTAGTAATTTATTCGTCTATATCTTTCTATGTCTGAGAAACAAATAATAAAGATAGTCATTATTGTTTTTCAAAATGTATTCTGAGATTGCTTCTACCGCTTTGGTTTGAAACGTCAACAAACATGGCTGCCGGAGTCTGCGGAATACTGAACAAGTGTAGCTCGTTGAGTTCGTTCACTTTTTGGTGTGCGAGTCGTTTTGAGTTCACTGAGGTGCTTAGAGGAAGATATTCGCAACCGACGTAGTTTGCAATAAACAATGCCGCAAATGCCTGCTTCGGAAGCGCTGTGCTTACGCTCGTTTTCGTAGCGGGACTGACCCAAGCATAGCGTCCCACATAAACTATTTTGATCATCTGGCTCGATTTTTTTTTTTCTTTTTTCGCGTGTGACGATGCTGGAGCCGTTTCTGTGGATGTTTTTCTAGCGACTGCGCCGAATGATTATTTGTTGTACCAATGCTTTTTTAATAAGAGATAGAGTCCGCGAACTTCGAAACACTGCTTTACTTTGACAGACTCCCGAGAAGGAGATCGGATACTTGGAACTTCAATGAGTTCTGAGGGGGTCACCGGCCAAATTATTACCTTCAAAATGTAGGCTGTATAAGGCTCTGGAGTCGTCAACAGGACTGTGATTCAGGTGTTGAGTGTTTTATGGTGTTTGTGTTCGTTTCTAATCTGTATTTATGCGATGTATGGAGTGCGTTCAAATACCACAGGGACACCTTTTCCTAACAACATCCAAGCTATACACGAAGTCATCTCTGTTACGTCACGGCGCGGTGGTGGCGCGTCGGTCGCACTTCCGGTCTGGGGCTGTGGGCAGAAGTCCCCATGCCAGACGTGTATTCCTCCGTTGTTTTGAAAGGAACCAGACAAAAACCTGCCTTCTCGTCAAAACGCCGCGACTGGGGTCGTACCAAAAGTGTCGAGAAAGGTTTGAAGGTCAGTTTTCACGTGCTCGGTTCGTCCGAGAATATGGATATGTGCCGTGAAAAGGGAAAAGCAGACGCCGTCGGACAACGATTGCTTGGGTGGGAAGCACTTTGGGTTGAATTCACGGATAGCTGTGATCATCAGATTTATTTGTTTTGTTCCAACATGAACGCCAAAAAACCGTCAAGTTGTGCGGACCACCTGCGGACTACGTTCAGTGTGTCTTCAAGTTCAAACGGCCACCTGATCGTTCGAACTGTCGTCTGCTCTTTCAGACGTGTCTGCTTGTCGTCTGCTCTCCCAGACGACGCCGGCCCGTAGACAGAATCTTGGCCCAGTACTTGCGATAAGAAGTAATGCACGCCTCAAAAGACCTAAATTTGAAGGTTGGTGAGCAGGCTCGATGTAAACAGTAGATACAAGGAGATGTTGATCATTGTTACCAGTGACCATCACCGACTTGCTAGGCCTGATTCGCATGGTCCGATTCTGCTTTAGATTTTCAGTATCGACGTCGACCATCTCAGCTACGGTTCACGCTTTTGCAGCCCGAGCGACGTTGCGACTGAAAATAGCGAGCGAAATCTCATCATGCGAATCAGGGTTTAGCGTACATTCTGCGGCGTCCACGCGGAATGAATCGCCGCATGTCACATTATTGACGCGAAGTTTTGCGGTGTAACGTGCCTTGTTAATTTCGATGAGGCCGCTCAAGTAGTCAGACATTGCCAGGAAGACGTAGAATCAACGATTCGAACGCGAAAAAGGGCAGGGGGACTCACACAAACGCCGATAACATCGCATTTCAATGGTTTGTTTATGGGCGACGGCGAGCGTCTTGCCCACACCCCCATCGCGCATGCGCGGCGCCGGTGGCGTCCGCCAGAGGCGTTTCGGGCGCTCCGGTTTGTTTGTAAACATGAGTTGGTGTATAAAGCAGATGCGCGTGGCTTTTGTTTTTGTTATTCTTCGGCAGCCAATTTGGAGCAGAGTGGAAAGCCGTTGTAAGCCTCCTAAGCTTTGTTAAATGAATAGCTAAGCTGTACATTTGTTTGTTTGTGTTTCAATGGCTGTGTAGTCTTTCATTTGAAAAGCTGTAGTTTTCCAATCGAATTGCTACAGGAAAAGCATCTTGGAGGTGACAGAAAGTGCGCAGACTTTTTTTTATTAAAAAGTGGGTCAATGTTCCAAAAAAAGTAATAAGAAAAGCTAGAGAAAGTTATATGAAAAGTCGTTGACATTTTATATCCTCTGATGACTCAACAGCCTTTCCTCAAAAAAAAACACCACAGTTTTTTTGTTTTTTTTTTGTAAGGGTATTTACTATGAACAAGCAAGAGCCTTAAAGACCGACGACCAGTTCGCGCTTTCCACTTTTCGCCCACTTCCTCCTCTCCCTCCTTCCCTTTCCACCCACACCCGCCCCTCTTGGTTCCTTCTTTCCCTCCTTCGCTTCCCTCGCCCGAAGGCGTGGAGAGGAGGGTCTTCTGCCTTGCAGAATCTCGAGTCTGGTCGTCGGCCTTTAAGGAGCTCGTGTGGCAGAAAAGACGGCGTCGGTAGCGCGGGGCAGAAAATCCTGATTGGTCGATAGGGTCATGACGTCACAACCACATGACCTCGTGTGGGAATTTTGAACAACACACAACGTGGGCCAGACACCCTACCGACTAGTCCACGCAGACAGTTTTTCACGGCTTGCAAACAAGCGCAGGTTACTTTTTAGCTATCGCGTTTTTCTATTAAAGGCGGAGCTTTTGTGTCCTTTTGTAATTTTTTTTTCTATCAGCCAATGAGAGCTCGGCGTTTTGACATCATCGCAACACCTGTGCAAGAAGCAGACGAACTTGCGCTCCGCAGAAAGCCGCTTCTATGGTCGCGTCTGGCAACCGTTGCAGAAGCTTTTAGAATGGGGCGGAATAGCAGACGGACAGAGGCGAAAACGGACGTCAACGCGCGGCTTTCGTGTCCGTGTCTCACGGGCATTGCAGATGACGATAGACGGTGGTGAAATAGCAGACGATGCCGGTAGTTGCCGCGTGTCTGCTCGCACGACTAGCAGGCGGTGTCAGACGCTAGACTAGACGCAGTGGATGTGGTGGAAGGGAGACGGTATACTTGTTAGCGTAGTCGGTCGAGTAGCCAAGCCAGTTCATTAGCAATGGGCGGGGCCGCTGATTTGTGGGCGAGGGTTAGAGTGGGCTATGACCTCCACCTAAATTGCATCTACGGCGACAATATGCGGGAATAGTTCTTTCGTGGCAAACTTATTTTAAAAAAAAATGTCGCGAGACACTTGCTCGGTGGCCGAGCCGGCGCCATTTTGACACCTCTCTCTTGTTCAACCGTGGTCAAGCCTTATTAAGGCATACCCTTGGTTGCCAGACTGCACACAAGCGAAGCATTTTCCATCCACAGTGGCCAGATTACCTTTCGAAGCGTAACTGTTTCCAAACGTTTACTAAAAATAGATATTCCTTTTAACGTGTTGCTTGGAAAACAATCCTGTGTCAAATGTGAAGCCAGATTATATATGAGCGTTTCTTTATTCTGATGTGTGTGCCTCTTTGCAGGTAGCGCTCCGGGTGCGGCCCATCCTTCCGTCCGAGTTGGACAAGGGTCTCACGTGCATCGCACACAAGATTGACGATAAGGTGAGCTGGTGTTCTTGACAGAAAATCGTCCACCTTCGTCTATATTCAGATCTTAATGTTTTGTTTATTTTTTGCTTGTTTCCTAACTTGTCACTGGCTCTTCAAAACTTCGAAATGCGGCTCTCGTACATTAGATCTCTCATTACAATAGCCTAGTCTGTATAGTGATTATTGAACCTAAAGCAAGTGTGCAGGCGAGCTGGTTCAATACTGACATAGAAATACGGCAGCGGGGGAAAAACGGGACTGATAAAACGAAGCTTCTTGATATCTGTTGTGGTGGCGTCGCCACTCTGGCAACGCGACCACTGCCGAGATGCATCGAGGGAACTTTAGATTTTCTGCGTGGGCAGCGACTTCGCTGCCGAGCTCTGCGAATGCAGAGCACGAGACGGCATGCGTGCGAAACCACACTGGCTAGGCATGATCCTCATTTTAAAAACGCTTCTGGCACTAGTGGGACCCAAATATATTTCCACGCAAAGCTACTGAACAATAAGGTCCTTTCTGGCAGCGCAATTTCGAAGATAATAGCTGCAGCCTTTTATTTTAGTCTCCACTTTGCAAAAACTTGACGATCAAGCTGAGGGGATCGCATGCATTGTTGGCGTTGACAATGCGATCCCTGGGAGTTTTGTCATGAAGCTTCGCGATCCTCGCGGTGATGATATAAAATGCGGCCTGCGGTTAACGATTTAGTAACGCGAGCATTCGATTATGGGCCAACCAACGCTTCGGTATGCATTCGCGTGGTGGCACCTGCCCAACCACTGCGATGACCGAACTTTCACAATATAGCGCGTACGGCTCTGATAAACAGTGTAACGGCAGGATCAACACTCTCTTGACGAACCACGAGTCCACCATTTTCCCACGCCATGTTTTGGGCATTGCATGCGAGCGCGCGGGAACCAGATCCGCGTCACGTGACGCGTTGCGCATGCGCCGCGTCGACAGCAGCGCCACCACGTATAACCGCATGACGTCAGAGCCCCTAGAAGACAAGGCCTGCTCATGACGTCATCGTTAGTGGACCCGCTGTCTACCCACACCAAGCGCAAACACGCCGAAGCTATAGGAAAATGCGATTTCCTGAAGTTTAACTACGGTGTCAATAAGCTCCAACACTATCATGTTGCTATAGACCTTTCCAATAACAGCCTTCTGGGCGCTGCCATCTTGGTTTTGTGGGCGGTGGAAGTCGTTCTGAGCGCACGCAGTACGTAGCTCTCTTTTAGTATTTACAATCCCAGTGACTCAGCATTTTCGCCCGAGGGATAAGCGCTGGAAAGGTCTACTTAGCGAACACTAATACAGTTAATATATGTCCAAATGATTTTCGAATGCCTTTTTAAGTGTATTCCCCATTTGCAAATACACTTGAACTCTACTTAAAGTACACTCTTTAGTACTTTGAATTACTTTTAAAAATATTTCACTGGAAATACGTGTATTAAAAGTATACTCCAAGCACATTTCAAATACACATAGATAGACAAATGTAATGATAGTGCATTCGAAACGGCTTATATATATATATATATATATATATATATATATATATATATATATATATATATATATATATATATATATACATCATCCATGTTTGCCCAAAATAACCTTGACGAACATCGAAATTACGATAAAAGAGACTGAAATTCCTAAATACTGCTACTGCAATCGAAATACATTTCATTTATATTTATAGATATCAACTGAATTACACTTTTAATAGACGTGTTACTGCACTTTGAGTGTTTTTTTTTTTTGCAATACTTCTAATGTATTCGGAATAGATTTTAGTATTAAAATGAATTTCGATTGCGGAGAAAAAATACGAACTAATCCGTGTATTAAATGCATTTAAAATGTACATGAGCTGTAATCATTTTTAGAGCCCAGCTCTTAGGCGCCCGTTTCAGGCTTGAGCGGCGTCGCCGTCGGCGTAACCGTAACGTGACTGACCCCCCCCCAGGTCACGTGACCCCCCAGGTCACGTGACCCCTCAATACCGTTCCCCTCGGTACCATCCCCTCAGTACCCTTCCCTCCTCCTCCTCAAGAGCTGCGCTCCAATTCGGCGTTACAGGGAGTTGTAAACGGCTTTCATTCTTTTCGTTAAAGATATTGCTAAATATATCAAAATTCAAACTCGAAAAAAAGACAATTTCTTGCGATTGCATTTCAAGCTCAAGATATCTGGCAACGATGTTCCTGGAAAAGATATGACTGAAAAAAGTGTTCTCACTCTGAATCGTATTGCAAATCTTTACCGGCCATTAAGATGAAGCACATCAAGCTCGAAAGAAACAGCAACGCCCGCATGTGTCGCCACGTCGACACGCGGGCCTGAATCCCCAATCGATAAAGACAAAAACGAAAGCGTCTTGAATAAATCAGGCGTCCCAGATTCAGATCCATTGACGTTCCCTCAAAGGCGGGGCCGCAGCGACATCGTGTCTGGACTACGCCGCGTCCCGCACGGAAACTGTCGCGAGTCCAGCGTCACTTTCACGTCACGTCCATGTCACGTGATCGTCACGAGCATGGATCACGCCACGCTCCAATGCACAACGTGTGAGGAGGGGGAGGGTTTTTGTTTGAACACGAATGTGCACCTTGAGTGCCGCGCCGCCACAAAGAGGACGTGACTTGGCTTTAATGACCGGCATTTTTGTTTTTTCGTGTCCTTTTGTGGGGGACGTGTCAGAAGCGGTGATGAAAGTTTCTCCTATCGGATGATGAGTCGATAAGATTAAAGCTAAATTAGTCGTTGGCTTCTCAATATGACCGCTGCGGAAGGAGATTGCTGTAATTCGTTTTCCAAATTTAACCTAAACTTCGGTTCAGCTTAAGTCTTGACGCAGCCTGCGCTACGAGGTATACAGCGTGTCAGTGGACGTGTCCCAAAATGTGCAGCGCCGTCCGCGGCGCCGAAAGGAATGCAGGGAATTCTATGTAGAGAGCCGGTTGTAGACGGTGACGGAGGTGACGAAGAAAACGAATAAGGCTAGGTGAGACCACGCAAACAATTCCACAGCCATCTTTCTCTCTCGCTCTCTTCAGTGTCACGTGTTGGGGCGGATACAGAACTTCCCGCGCGGGCGTGAGGGATTTTTGCAGAAAGTCTATCGCGCTACAGTGTGTGTTTACGAACCGCAAGATCAAGCCACAAGCCCGAGTTAGCGTTTTGACAGTGTTGTTCACAAAGTACGTTTTTTGTACGTACGTCCTGGTGACACACGAGTGAGGCTGAACGATTCAGAGCAGAACATATTATTTCCAAACCGCCATTAAAATGGAAGTCTTGAATGTTTCTGCTCTGTTACTGTGAGGTACTCGCCTGTGAAAACGTTATGTTGTTGACTGCAGGGCGTCAAGCTCAAAAACATAAATTAGGTTGAAAAGTTCAGTAAGTGGCCCCGCGTCTATTTTCTTTATTTGTTTGCTCGTAAATAATTTTAGTATTCTGCGTTCTAATGGCTCGGTCACATACTTTCAACTGTTTACGACCGACTGTCTTAAATCTTCGTGAGAACGTTTCCGACGAGAGAACGCACTGGCGCCATCTCTGGAGTAGACGTGGAACACCTGGCGTTTCCGTATATTTATTACTTTTTCCTCACACTGTATAGTTTTATTTTTGCTTCATAATCTTTTGAAAATGTTATGAAAGACATTTTTTATAGATAGTATGTACTTTTTATCTCGGAAATAGAGCGAAACGTTCGCTGTAATGAAATGCAGTTCCATGGGTCACCTCATATATGGTGCCAGAGTGCCAGCGTGTCATATCGTCGTAAGAGATCATAACAGCTCGGACATAAGCAAAAGCAAGTATGAGAACCGGCCTTAGCTCAAAAGTCCGTGTAAGATTACTGAAATTGATTAAAATATATAGTTACTAAACCCCTATTGGACACTTGAACCATTAATTGTTTCCACTTTATCGTTGGTACTTTCCGTTTTTTCGTTTGGTTTTCGCTTTGTTGAGTAATATTTTTCTGTAGATAATTATCAATCGAGGTTTTGTCGAAGCAATCTATGATGACTCTTGTCTAACTATAATCCTCACTGGCATAAATTTTAGAAGTCCTGAATTTTAGAAGTCAATAAACCTTCATAAAACTCGACAACTAAAGTTCGGGAAACGATAAATGAAGACTGTCTTACGGTTATTCTACCGTACTTCAACCGGTGCAGCACAGGGACACGCACAATTCCCGTCTGGTTCATCATCATCATGCTGTTCGCTTTTAACGCGAAACGGGTCATTGACCCCGACTTCCTGGTACAGAAAGACTAGCAACGTCACGGTTCTTTCGGCTGGACATCCTAAAAAAAAAAAGAGAGTTCTGCCATGGCGCCTCCAGTTCTGCCCGTCGGGTTTTCAAGCCCGTGTCTCCTTCCACGAGGCCCGTCATTACTCCTCTACGGAATAGGACATATCGGCCATCCGGATACCACCGATGGACATCACGCGACCGAGGCCTGTCGGTCCATCGATGAAGAATTCATGAGACGCGCCGATGACAGGGCGTTTGCCGCAGCGGCAGCCGAGCGCCCACCGCTTGGGTGCGCAGCAAGCACCTCGTGGACGGTTCTGATCGACGCTGGGAAGTCATCGGAGATTCATGAGGCACTGTGTCGCTTACGCGTGGTTTCCGTGGTATATTGTCGACATGAGCCGCTGCGAGTGTCCTCTTTTGTTTTTCTTTGTTATGCGCCCTTGCTATTGTTTCCAGATATGCTTGATTCCCTCCACGCCTCAGGACCACGCCTACCTTTGCCAATGACAGCTATCGACTCAATAATAATCGACAAATGTGTAACTCCAGAGAGGAGCCCAGATTCCTTTTGCTTCCGGTCAGCTTGAGCTTGCCACAGCACTCAGTTGTAAAGAAATAAGCACGGGGTCTCTTGTTTTCTTTCCGATTGGCCTAGAGGAGACTGCTCCGGTTGATTTCTCCTGGTTATCGTTAAATGCTGATGTCAACGGTTTCCCTCGCCATCCGGCCACACCCTCGCCTTGGTCTTAAACAAAACGGGCACGAAGAGCTACAGTCCGTTGCAACATAATATCTGCAGGCAACACCCTGCCCCCGAATTCCCATAGAAAAATGTTCCCCTCAATACTCCCAAGACACTCAAGAGCCCCGAATTATGAAGACCACCAGGCCTCTTCTTAGCGCCGGACGGGTAGTCCTTTTTCCAATAAAGTTTTAACACGCACACACGCACACGCACACACACACACACAACAATAAAAACGCGTAGCTTTCTTAATGTCAGAAAATTGGATACCGAAAGAAATGCACTTCTGTAACAAAATACAGCAGCTTAGAAACCAAAGTTCTATAGGCGTTTTTTTTTTTTTTTTTTTTTTAATTGCACTGCCTCTAGCAGTCGCTAAGACAATTTTCCGACTCCGCCATCATTTTTGGGGGGCACGGACTTTGATTACTCTTGGACACGAATGCTGACGTCAGCGTTCGGCGGATACTCGGATCCAATCACATGCTTGGTTCCCAACATGTGGCGACCGCCAGTGTTGTTTGCGGATTTTTAAAATAGGGCCCATTGCACCCGGAAATCTTTCGTGTGGGTGTAGCATTTTTGTTTTTTTGGTGGCCAAAGCCTCGCCGTCAGCAGATCTTATATTGCTGCAGAGTGTACAGACACGTGCACGGAGGAACATCCGACGCCCCGTAGGGCCCCTCGGACGTTCACTCCTGCACGTGTCCGTCGCTTCAGAGCATGCGGTCTCGAATACATGGCCTGCGAGCGCCCGTTCCCATGTCTCGAGCGCTAGAAATGGCTCGAGCTATAAGGATCTACTGTCTCCGAATCATTTCCGCCCGACTCGTAGCTGTGCTCTTATAAGATATCACTTAGTTTATACTGTTTTGTTTTCATTTGCTTCGTGTTCCATGTTAATTTTTGCTCCCCAGGTTTCTTTGCTCAAGGACGGACCTTGGCTGCACGAACTCTCGCTCAGTATTAGAAATCGCCACGGATAAACCTACGAGTCGAATCTCGCCTTCAAAAATTATTACCATTAAAATGCACTTTTTACAAGTTGTTTCTACGCAACTATTGGTAAAGCAAAAACTTTCTTATGAATTTTTTTTTTCGGGACACGTTGAGCTGGAATATTTCCCGAGTGAATTTAGCAACGGGACCGGACAGCGTGCTTGCTCTCTTGTTCTATTAAAAATTACAGCACTTTGGTGGGGTGGTGCCATTTTAGATAGTGTTATTAAATCAGGTAAGGGCCCAAAGTAGTCCCATAAACGATTCAAATCTAAGGATGTCACTGCCCAACTGCGAGTTTAAAAAAAGCAAAGAGCAGAGGTTAGCCTTTACCGAAACTTCTGGCAACAGCCGCCAGGATCGTGACATCCGACAGCTTGACAAGCCGGCTCCCATGACGTCATTTAATGCCGCTTAGGGGCAACTCTTGATGTATGGGTGGGATAGGACGCTAAATGCACCTGTCGACGACACGTTCCAGGGGGCACCGTAGGGAAAATGACTTCATCGCATTACAGAGCCTCCGGTAACATCGGTGTTTTGATTGTGCTCTATGCAGACGGTGCTCCTGGTGGATCCCCAAAGCGCCGAATCCGCGGAGAAAACTCGTAATGGAAGTAGCAACAAAAAGGTGGTCAGTCACAAGTACGCCTTCGACTGGACCTTCGATGAGAGAAGCTCGCAGGTAAATCTTCTTCGATGCTTTTTCATCCGAATTGTTTGCCTACAGTACCTTTCACAAATGCCTGCAGTAAAGACAAAGGTTCAGGCGCATGAGCCCAGCTCGGCAGAATGCTTTTGTTCGTACGAGAACGCCTGCATAGCAGCTACTTTCCAAAGCCACGCGCTCATGCCCCCGCCTTTGTCTGCACTGCATGCAGACGTATGTCAGGTGGAGTTTATGTTATTCGTCTTTCACAATCCATCAGCTGTCCTTTTATAGACGACTGCAAGCAGGGCTCCCGTCCGCCGCCATGTCTCTGCGTGTGCGGGCAAGCACATGCAATCGCACACTTGTCAAGGCCACGTTCACACGCACGCTTCGCGTGCTGGTGCCTACGCAATTACGGCTGTCTATACATCCGAATATCGTGACAAAAAACTGCCCCAAGAAACATCGCCACACTTCATTATATTCGAATGCTGTGAATGAGAGAACTGTGTATGGTGGACGTCATCAGACCAAAGACTTTTTTAATAAAAGAATACACATTGAATTGACTTGCAGGAAGAGGTCTACCAGAATGTTGGAAAACCTCTGGTGGACAACGTCTTGCACGGTTTCAACGGGACCGTGTTCGCCTACGGAGCTACAGGTGACTCAATCTCTTTCTTCTTGCGCCACTTGCATTTAGGGTTATCATTTTTGAGCTCCTCCCTGTGTTGACCATTTTATTAAATAATGTGAATGGCTTCCGAGTTTTATATAACAGAGCAGGCAACACCCGTAAGGACATAGAGGCATTTGTATCGTTGAGATCTTATTGTGGTTGTTCAAGTTAACTAAGTCAAGTTAACTAAGCAAGTTCAAGTTAACGAGCCTGCTCGTTCCACCTAAATTCGTCTTTACATTTTATCCACAGTATTGTCAATTTGGTTTAAGCTAGCTATAGCTCTTCTGGTTGATGTCTAGAGGTTGCGCCTGCTTTAAGAGGTCGGCATTAGGCCCTTGTCAAATATCCATGAAGTAACACGGGCGGCCGCTATGTTTGGGGAATAGCATTCTGCTCAGAGATAAGGATTGGATCCGAGATGACGCCGATTGCTGACACAACACTCGTGGCAAATAAAATTGAACCCGAGTACACTGCGTACGCGGACGCCGCACTCGTGTTCTGTATGATATCTATCTTTCTATTTCTAGGAGCGGGAAAAACGTACACGATGGTGGGCAGCGATAAGAGTCCCGGCATGATGGTGCGTGTGTTCGACGACTTCTTCCAATTCGCCAAATACAACAACTCCACGACGGACACAAGCATCTTCATCTCTTACATGGAGGTGAGCTCGTCTTCGCCGTTGTTTACGGTCATGGAACCGAGGTGAAATAGACTAACCATGGAGGGTGGCTGTGGTGCCAGATATGTGCCCGTAAAGCCCCTGCTAACAAAGCTGTCAGCTTGCCCTTGGAGCTTTGCGTTCAGCGACTTGTAAACGCAACAGGATACTGCGTTCACTGCGAGAACCTGCAGTTGGGACAACACAAAAAAGTTGGTTGCGTTCGGAACAGTAGAAGTCTAAAAAATCAGATCAAAGTGTGAAAAAAAAAGCAATGATTAATAATAGATGATTCAGACATAATCGGAAAAGCCTAGGACTCGCCAGTTGTGACGTCGGGGTTCTCAGAGAGCTGCTTGCTCGCTTGCGCGTTTTAAGGAAGTGTAATACTTATAATCCATTTTCCTTAAATGAACTGTTGGATTCGCCTAGAGGTGCCAACAATGAATAAAAAAATGAGATAAAGAACGAAATACGCACATCCTCGACCCTTTTTTGTGAAATATTGGGCACATTTCATCCCACTGTGCTCTTTGCCAGTTTTTCGTCGAACCTTCACTGACTTTAATGTACATATGCGTAGGTTTTACATATTCGCGTGTACGTCTTGACTACAGCTTTTTTTGTGAGGAGTAAGTTACTCTCTTAGTGTTGCTAACATATTTACAGATCTACAATGAGAATATCCGAGATCTGCTGAACACATCCAACACCTTCCTTGAGCTTCGCGAGGATCCCCAAGGTGGAAACCAAGTCTTGGGTCTCTCTGAATTGGAGGTTACGAATTCGGCAGAGGTTAGTTTGTCCCAAACATTTATTCTATAAAAAGTCATTTTTTTATTTCATGTGGTCGTTAGTGTGCTCCCCATATCATGGAAATCTGCTGTGCTGCGACTTTTTCTTTCACAACGTTTTTCACAGTGCTTCATCACTAGCAACTGAGAACTAATATAATATGGCAACTAGTTGCAATGTTCTTCGTTTCGCCAATTTATTGATGTGTTTTTTCAGTGGCTGACGCGATTTCACAGACATTTGAAGAATAATGAGTTGTTCTATTTGTTTTTGTTCTATTGCCACCACCTTGTATAATGCCCAACGGGCCCTCAAGGAAAATAAATTATGATGAGGGGGTCTGCAAGTGCACGTTGTCCGTTTTAGGCTCCCTCTGATTACAAAAAAAGGTAAAAATAATGGTGAATATATATACACTTGCGAACTTTATCAACGCACTATTGGATTATTTACGAAACTTCTGAAACACGTCAAAATTACCCCTCTCTATATTCTCAGACTATATCAGAACGCAGGGACAAAACTGGTGCGCTCTAACTTTTACAAGTTTAGGGAAATCGTGCTTACGATTCTGGCCTATATAATATTTCAAATGCAAAATTTGTGACATGGCGGTTTAGACAAGAGGTATAGTCAGCCTCAAAATAGGGACATAATTTTATTTAGGAAAAAAACATCACTATTTCCGACACGCAAAAATGTACGAACAAGCTTAGACGCACAACAAGAGCTGTCTTGAAACGATGTGTGTTTTATCACTTCTTGTCTTCTTTTTTTTTTTTTTTTTTTTGCACACCTTTTTTTTAGTACGCGAAAAAGACTAACGGGCTTGGAGGCTACCTATTTCTGTTAACACATTTCTTCGTTAAAATGCTATGTGCGCCAAGAGAGAACCTATAAACTCTTGGGACCTTTCCTTTGCCTGCCTTCCCATCCCAATGGTCCTTGTTTTCTGTCTCGACTGAAACCATGTAACAGAAAAGAAACTTGTTAGAATCTGTGCCTTTGCACCTCGTACATGTGGGGAAAATGCCAATCCTTACGATATAGTTATTCGGTCGCTGTTGTCCGCAGGTGCTAAGGCTACTACAGAAGGGCAACAAGCGGCGGACGGTGGAGCCCACAGCGGCCAACAAGACGTCCTCCCGGTCTCACGCCCTGCTACGAGTCTCGATCAGACAGTCCAGCCGGGACCCTTCCAACCTGAGCTCTTCCAGGAACAGGGTAGGAAAGTTGTTCATGGTGGACCTGGCTGGATCTGAAAGAGCCTCCAACACCAAGGTGAGATGACCCTGACATAGTTCATTGTCTGCTGGAGTGAGACCTAAGAGTGGTCAAGTGGCTAGCGGTTGGCTGGACTGTTAAAAATAAAATTAAGAAACGATAATTGAGATCTTAACGTTCGCAGGCTGATAGGCTGCTTGGTCCTTTATAATGCACTACTCAAACAGGTAACTTAGACACAATGAGTCCTTCAAATTCGGACACCTCCGTCACTACAGCATGCCGTTGATCGCTAAGCGAGCACCAATGTACCATGGTAAATTGATCTCTAACCCTGACCATGAGTGTCATAAATGAATTTTCGTACCATTAAATTCGCAGGAAGAGAAATGAGCCAGCAGCGAATTCTGGCGTTTTGTTGTGGAAAAAAAAGAAAGGCGAGATGGAAACAACATAATTAATGCGATGCAAATGCAATTCATCTTTCGCAATTTGTAAATTACGGATATTTTATGTATTAATAAGCCGAGCAGAATAATATCTGTGCACTTTGTATCTGAAATTCATGGGTCCAAGGCTAACCCCTGTAGTGACAAACAGATGATGGCGAACTCTTTTTTAAAGTGGGAGGGAACTTCATGCTCCGTACGAATGAAATCTCCAGCTCCCTTTACTACGACGAGTGCAATGTGTACTTTTACGTTGCCGTGTGAATGAACTATCACGTTGATTTCGGCTGATTACCTGCACCCCAACTTTATTTCCTCTGTTTCTCTCTTCTAATCTTCTATTCAATCTAAGTGCGGGCCTGTGGCGGAATTTCCACCCTAACAACGAGTTTGTTTTCCTTTCAGAATACCGGAATACGGTTAAAGGAAGGCGCGCACATCAACAGGTCTCTTCTCGCACTTGGAAATGTCATCAATGCATTAGGTATGGGATTCTTTTCTTCGTCCCTTTCAGTAACTCTTGCGCTTGCCGTTGTTTTCATATTACTGTCGCTGTTGTTGTCCTTTTTGGAAAGTCTATAGACTCGCGGAACATCACTTCTTTCTCTAAGTACAGTTGCAGCTTGACAGTCAGTCTGCACATGGTTCGGACCTTTCCTGTGGTGGTGTTCACGACCACCGAAAAGACAGAAACGACAAAAGTAACTCGGATGACTAGGCTTTCCGTGCCGCAGTGAGATTACTTCAATAAATAGCTGTGACAAGCATTTCTGCACGAGTTCCTAAAATGCACTCGCCCTATTTGTGATTCGCCGATCGCTAGTGATGTGACCCAGAAAGAGTGTTGGCAACTCAAAAAACAAAGATTCCGCTGAAGTATAATCCCGTAAATCTCCGAAAAACTGCTAAATTTAAGGCGAAGGCAAGTTATGGCTAATTTAACACTGTCCTTCAAAATCTTCCCCCATAATATATCAACGACGACCCGAGCGCTATTCTCTCTTACAATAATTTTGTTGAGAGTAAAAGAAAATAACGACCCCACGACTTCAACTTACCGTATAAATGAAGCTGTTTACGATCGATAAATAGAAACCCGGGAACATTCTAGACCGCCAGAAAATGCGCTAACATAACTCGCAAATCCCTAAAAAAATCCTGCCAACCGCAAAACGGCGATTTCTCCCACTAGACAACTCAGAAAGCCGCTGAATTTAGGGTAAATTCCGCTTAACTGGCAACGCCGATCACTGATCTACGTCATACACTGGTTGCCGCTCGACATACACTGTAAACGACTCAATTTTCGCGAATCGGGCCAAACCTGAAAATTTTTAATTATTCGCGGGCTCTAAATTCCCTGAATAACGGTGGTACGCTATGTGTTCGCTACCTTGGGGAAACATATTCGAGGGTCCTATTTTTTCGCGAATCGTAGGCGATTCGCGAAATTCTCGAAAATTAGGTCCTCGCAAAGATTAAGAATTGCAGGGCGCATGGGGCAAAGTCCCGAGCATCTTATTATGCCGTGCACAAGTTTATCCGCTTCTTGCGCAAAGGCTGCAGTGACGTCACAACGCCCCACTCTGATTGGCTGCGATTGGAAGGAGAGTGGGTAGACCTCGATGCAAGCCGCCTTGATGTCTGCCCGCCATCCTTCAGGCAGAACCAATCAGAGCTCGGCGTTTTGATGTCAAAAGAAGCAGACGAACTTTCGCTCCGCATAGCTTCGGGTCTACCCACTAGTCTTACCAATCAAAGATCGGCGTTCCGGCGTCTTCTCTCGTCTCCGCGTTTCTCTCGTCTCCCCCTCTCCTTCAATTTCTACCCGTATAGTAACCGTCATTTCTCTCGACAGAAAAAAATACCCGAACTAACGATCCTAGACACCGGTTCGTGGAACAGCCTATTGTCATTGGCAACTTAAGAAATGGCGGGCGTGACTTATTACGTTCTCACTTCTCGCTTCGTGATTTGTTCATCCAACTTGTTATCAGCTCATGTCGCAGTCATGCCGGCCTCGGAGAGATAGTAAGTCACTCGGGGCCCGCGGTGTCCTCCGTTTCTTAAACTCTCATTGAGTATGGTTAGTGCCACTAAATAAGCTACGCTTCAGAGTAACGACACTTGGCCATTTTGTGGCTTAAAATCATGGTTGCCAGTTATCTGAAGCTTTATCTGAAATCACAGGAAACACTTTTCCGCTCTCGACAAAGGTTTCAAAAGCTCGTGACAGAGCAGAGCAATATTACATGAGCTTCCTAACACCGAATCTAATGCTGAGGAAGTCGCACTTTTGAATCATGACGATCGGCAGTTGTGTCTGCTCTGCATTCGAGCCAAAATGGCGGCGCCTACAACAATGTTGGGGAACGGAGTGCCGATACTCTAAACGCAGCTCATTCAGTGGCTCTAAGTATACTCGTGAAACTACGAACAAGAAGTCATCATCACTGCACACTGTGCACAAATGAAATTCGAAAAAACAAAAAAAACACACGTAAGGTGCTTCAGCTTCCAGAATAATATGCATGTTAATTATGTAGAAAACAAACGTGCTTATCGACTAATAAAATGGCCGAGTCAGTGTTGCCAATTTAGCGGTTTTCTCACAACATTTAGCGGTTTTTGTTAGTTGCCTAGAGGGAGAGATTGCCGTTTTGGGTTTGGCGGTATTGTTAGCGGTTTTTGAGTCGTATTAGCCTGTTCACTGACGGTCGTAAAGTGTTCTCCAGTTTACATTTCTCAATCGTTAATAGCTTCATTTCTGTGGCGTGCTAGAGTCGCCGGGGGTCATAATTTTGGCTTATGATTCCTTTAGCGTGTTTTTAATTTTAGAGTTGGCAACACTGGGTTAAGAGTTTGAAGTAAAATTAACTAGCACAGCTGGGTATAGGCGAAGCAGGGGAAACTTAAGGCTCCCTCCCGAGTGGTTTTGCCCAATGTCTCGACCTTGTTTCCCAGTGAGTCTGGTGTTGGGGTAACGCCGACTAGATTTGACCAGAGGAAAATTGGCCACTGCCTCGCCGGGAAGAGAAGGCGGGGAGTGATGTTTTAGCGATCCCGAGGTCATCCTGTCTGGTGATAATTACTGCCTGGTGATAGTTACAGTTACAACACTGGGTTACCGTTACATCACCAGGCAGTTACATCACTGCCTGTTGATAGTTACAGAAGGACAGAGAGGACGCAAATTGGCTTAGAGAGGTAAGGAAGGAATCGTACTTTTGGATTCTAGGCTAGGTGGCGCAAGCTACCACCCGTTATAAAGGGTACAGCCACTAGCATTAATCCATCCATCTTTGAAAGGTTTTGGCGCCTGCTTGTGTGGTTTTGGGAGACTAACATTGATTATTATGGTCACGGGCGGCTTACAAAAAGAAGAGGGCGACATGTTTTGATAATTTTTATATCGCTGCAGACTCAATGAGATAAGAACGCGTTAGAATGAAGTACTAAGTGCAAGATGCATGAAGATAATCAGCTTAAGATCCAGTGACCGCACTCGATACACAACAGACCACGATACACTTCGATGAGCGACGCCTAATACTAAAGTACACACGCCCAAAAGCTTAATATATACTCTACATTTCGTAACTTGCGTTATTTGTCAGTTTTCTTCTCGCACCCGGCATGACCCTGATGTTTTCTAGCTAGATTTTTGGCCTAATGGGAGCTGACTTATCTCGGTGTCTGAGTGTCCGGTTTACCGCTGAGGTTTCGAGAGTGATCGTTAATTACGCTGACGTCACCGCGAGTCGACAGACCCTGACGAATGGAACACACTAAGCGGTTTCGCTTGGCTGCAGTTGCATGTGGGGCTTTACGCGATGGCTCTACGTGCTCGCGACCGCGTAGCTGAGGACGGTGTCGGTAGATCACGGCTAATTGACCACACTGGGTGCTTTACCGCAATCCCGGGACAAAGTTGAGTTTATATGGTTTATTTATTTTATTTGCTCAGAACTGTGGTGTGGCTGTCTTGAATATTTTATGGCGACGCAGTCGGTGCGGATGAAAAAGTGGCTCGGCAGAGGTAACGATGCGACTAGGTGGCCTGGAACAATCTGGAAGTTGGGCAATCTATACTAGCAAACATAAGAACCTGGTGCGAATTAAAAAAAAATCTCAAATTTGTAGGTCGTATACTAAGAACAAAATTGCAAAAACACCTAATCGACTGCACTGATCGAAGGCCGCTGTAATGGTAATGTCGGCAAACAACCGTCTACCATACGCTTCAACACACTCTGTTAAAGTTTCGTTAACGCACATCGGTAGGGGGCGCTGCGAAAGCTAGCGATGAAGACTCGGCATTAGCACTCGTACTGTACTTTTCCTTTTCTTTTATGAACAGTATTTCATGCAACATTTTGATGTAACAGATATTGATTTAGCAGTTAGTGGTATTTATTAGGTCATCGGATAAAATATGACATCATACAGGGGCGTTCCCAAACAATATTACGAGGTTATTTTTTCAACGAAAACATGAACTAATTCTCTACCCAAATGTACCGCGAGCTGTTCGAACCAGATGACTAAGTTTGAGAAAGAAGAAGTAGTACTTTAAGTACATTGTACTTGAAGTACTACCTCAAGTATGTTTAGAAAACTTGTACTTTACTTGAAGTACATTCTCTAGTTATGTACTTGTCCATTACTTAAAGTATTTTCTATGGTACTTTCCGAGGGAGGTACAACTTCGGACATCAAGATACATACCCCAAGTTTGATCTCGTTAATTTTGTGTCACAAAATGCTGCTTTGCCGACAAATACGTGCCTTATTGGTTGATTGTGTTAATTAGTTCGTCAGCGAGAGTAAAATTACTACGTGGCCATTTACCTTTATCCAAGGTTCGCCACCATTTCCAATAATAACTGATGCACTCCCGATTACCCCTTGGGTAACCCATACCAAGGCAATTTTTTTTTAATATTAGGTCTCTCAAAGATGTTATACGGACCTGGTTCGAGTTTCAACTTCCATACGATTAACCCAGAACACGATGTAAATACACACTCAAAAAAGGCTTGTTTCCGGCCTTCGGTTTTGCGTTCCTGGCGCAAACCAAACGCCTTCACCAGAAATTATAAGATTTAACTCTCGCGAATATTATAACACGCTCAACATACGGAACAAAGCGTATGCGCCTAGTTCATAACGCGGATTCAACATGTGGCACTGCGGACTTTGATAGTAAAGAAACAAAAAAAAAACAGTCTGCAGATACTAAGGCCTTCCTTGCATCATGATACTGTCACATTGATCATACAAATACTCTATGTCCGAAGCACACATATGTGTGAAGCAAACAAGCTTCGAACACTCTTGAGACCTGTCCGCAGATCCCCGTGTCGTCATGTCTCCAGCGAATACAGTGTCTTTTTTCTTTTCTTTTAGTGATATAAACAATGTAACTGCGCCTTTATGTTCGCACCATAAACAGTTTCCTATGACCGCACTGAATTTTTTTTTTTTTCTGTGGTCCACGCAGGTATGCGGAACCCAAAGTACGTCAACTTCCGGGACAGCAAACTGACGCGGATGCTCAAGGAGGCTCTCTCGGGCAACTGCAAGACGGTCATGGTGGCCCACATCTCTCCCGCGTCCGCGCACTACGACGAGTCCAGGAACACCCTGGTCTACGCCGAGAGGGCGAGGAACATCACGAACAAGGTGAGCGCAGAGCTAATGATGCAAGCCCATGCAGTATTTAGAAGACGAAGACAGAACGCGGCGTAATCTTAAGCAGATTCCCGACCTGCCCTAAGGGGAAAACACGATGATGTTCAAGGGCAGTGGCGTACCAACTTGTTTTTGAGTGTGTGTGTGTGTGGAGGGGGGGGGGGGGCACACCAGAACCCCCCTTCCATTCAGGGCCGGGGGGCCGGTGCTCCTAGTATCCCTTGGGCGCCACTGGCCAGCGTTTGCCCTGCCCAGTGGTGGCTGTTTCAGGGGGGGGGGGGGGGGGGGGCAAAACACATGCCATGCCCCCCCCCCTCTGAGAACTGGGAGGGAGGCAAGTGCCCCCTTTGCCCCCCCCCCCCCCCCCCCCCGGTTGGTACGCCCATGCTCAAGGGCAGTCGTCTTCAAGATGGCCATGTCTTAAGCCAGTGTTAAGCTTGCTAGTAGACACGCACCGACGCGTCAGAGACGCGGTCGGCGGCGACACAGGCTTGAGCTAGATTGCCCTGAGGTGTAACCAATATGCTCTGCAGACTGCTAGGCTGACACGGCGATGGAGGCTACGGATTCGTTGAACCAATCAAACGCCCATCTTGCACCATGTTATCATGTTCTCTGCGCACTCTCAGGCACAGAGGCCAGGTCAGGCGATAAAAGTGGTGCGATTAATTTGTCCGGCGAGCTAGTGGATTCCACCACTCATCAGCTAAGCGGTAAACTAAGTACAGTGATAGGATATATGGTTTGCAGCTGTTACGCAGATCGGTCGGCGAGTGCGTTAGCGCAGCGCAGCTCGGAGCACTTGGAGCGAAAGCTTGTGCTGTACGACGCAGGGATCCTGGGTTCGGTCCGTGACGGTTTCAACCTAGATAAGCACCGCGCCGCCATGCGGTTGTGTATCACTACTGCGTGATGCACGTTATAAACACCAAACTAGCAGTCGTACTGCGCTGCCTGAATTTCTCATCTAAAGCGCAAACCAGTGTCGCCGTCCAAGGCAGACCGACCTTACGCTGTCTAAACACGAACGTTTAATTTTTTTTTTTGGGGGGGGGGGGGCCGGGTCTTTCGTTCAATGTAACTAATTGAAGGCAAGTTGAATGTGGCGTGTGTACTAGTAGTAGCCCTAATACTAAAAACAAATTAAGCGAACTCTTTTGAGGTACAGGGCAGGAGCAGCTCCCGTCTTAAGGAAACATTGAGATCTGGTCATGTGTTAGCCCCGCTTGACTTCCAACCTTAACCCAATTGAACCTACTCCAGTCTACTGATTAAAGTAGACTAGACAATTGATTACGTGCTTTCGCTGCTATACCACGGCATTATCTATTTGCCGCGTTACGTCCTTATGTGGCACTGCGGTGTAGTCTGGTCTTATTTCATCTTCGTGGCCCTGGTAAAAGTTGAAGCATTTCAACTAAAGTACGCAGCCAATCATACTAGTAACGTTTGTTTTTCTGTTCATAATGCATAGTCTGGAAACAAAGGAGGCATTCATGTCTCGCTCAATAGTGCCATACCTGTTTCCTTCTTGTATATTCGGATCTACTTCTATCGTAAATGTTAGGAGAATGAAAGACATCATAACGGCTGTGGCACCTCTTGTGCCTTTCAGGTTCGGATCAACATGGTGGACGTGTCCCACCACGTGAAGCAGTACCAGAGCATCATCACGGAGCTGAGGCAGGAGATCCAGAAGTTGCAGGACCGTATCGAGGAGAACGACGCCTCCAAGGAGGAGTCCTCGACTCCTGTCTCTTCTCCCGAGGCTACGCACAAGGGCATCAACAGTGAGTCCTTTGAACAATGTTGCGTCCTTGATGTACCACACCTTTTCCTAAAAAGGAACCTTCTAGCGGCTTTGGAAGGGCAACTAACGTTCGCCCTTGAGTCTTAACAGAACAACCTAGTCAGTCTCTTTGCGAAATATCCGGTGCGTTTCAGAAGAATCCGCAAGTTCATTTTTAAAGTTCTGCCTACCGACTTAAACTACTTGTTTTTTTTTGTGTGTGTGTTACCATTTTCTAGTTACGTTATTACACATTCTTCTAAAGCTTAAGCAAAAACCAAAGAACTATCCCTATAAATATATTGTTGTATGCCACGCAAACTATACTCTATATGCAAGAGTCACCAGGTTCTTGCGCCAGGTTCTTGCAAACATCTTCGCAACTCTGAAGGTCACTATTCTTTGATTTATCTTCGTTACAATAATTACTTTTTCAATACTCGCTTGTTAGGTTGAGCAGTTACTGAGACTGTGAAAGAGTATGCCATTTTTTTTGTGTGTTTTAAATGGAAAGAATATAGCAGCAGGAATAGACCACGAGCAAATACACAAAACGGGCGGTCTTTTTGTTTCTTCTACTAGTCCGTTGTCTTTTGTCGCTGTTACCCCTTTCAGTTTGGAAACTCTGATGCCTCGTCTTTATAGTGATTGCGATATACGTTATAGTTCCTCAACATACACGCGTGAGGCTCGCGGTGGTAGTTTCATTAGGGTCTAAACTTTAGCAAAACTCATCATAACAGAACCTTAAATTTCCAAATTTAAACAACATCTAATCACCTCTAACATTTAACGTGAAACACGAGCTTCTCGAGTTTCGCACAATGGTCGCTAGGTTACGTGTGCATCAGCCCCGAATATGCGCGTGTGCAAATGAACCTGAAAGGATGTCTCGTTCATTTTTAATACGTTTTTGTTACCACGTAAACGCGCATTGCTCTATACGAAACTATATAGAGCAGATTGCTCCACGACACGTTAGAACTGTTCTCGAGTGTCACGCCAGACATGTCACTGAACCTGCCCCTAAGAGCTAAATTCGGCATGTTCATATGACGTCAAAACGCCACATCAACATTGCATCACCTTCCCGACCCTTGTAATGCTCTTAGAACCGAGAGAACACTGAACTCGGCCATTGATCGTTTGATCGTGACTATATTTCTTTTTTTTTTTTCTTTCGATCTCGCTCGGAAATACAGATCGATAGTGAGTCGAAAAACATGATTTCGTGCAAGATTGAGTGTCCCGTCCACCAAAAGACTCTTTAAATGGAATCCCATGCAAAGATGTCGAGATAAAAATGAAACATTGCTGGCTTTTGCATTTCGCCCTGCTGTAGGCTTTTGTTGCCCGTCTTGTGACGGTCGCTGATGTTTTATCGATGGAAACTGGTGCTTTCAGATTGACCCATAGGAACGGGATGTCTACATATCAAACAGACCGAGATTAAGCTATCGGCCATACGCATAAAGTAGGTTATTTGTGAGGGGAATCGATGTATACATTTAAGCAAATTTTATTTTTACCTCAACACGAATTTCTTCATTAAGATTTAACACAAGGGTACTTTATGAGTTTCACCTACCACATAAAATTATTTTCACATTTTCACAAAGGGTTGTGCTTTTTCACGTGCTTTCTCTTTTGTCTTAGAAGATACAAATATATACTAACTTCTGCGACATAATGGCACAGAAGTTAGTTGCAACAATAGGGAAACAATGTTCCTTCATAAACTGCATTTTTTTATTTCAACATAAAGTATATACGACTAAAACGCGATAGCGCAAGTGAGCTGGTGTACGTTGGTCATTGTCGAATTACACGAGATTCACGTTCTCCTGTCGTCACCACAGTCTCGGGTGATTCTACAGTGATAATGTACATAGTTTAAGAAAAAAAAATTATGCACGTGTAATTTTTTTGTGTTTTGCTGTATTTGTGTTGGGCATAATATAATAGGACGCATTGCAGATGCTAGCTCAAAGGTGCACTAAAAACGTTTCTGAGATAATTTGTTCTTTGTGATAACTCATTCTACGAGATCTTAGCATTCCAGAAATTGAAAGATTATGCTCGTGCGGCGTCTACTTCTCTACTAAAAATGTGAACGAAGCTTGTGCCACGCCACATTTTTAGCGGAAAAATCTGGAGCACCGAATAAAGTAGAGGCGCCGGCAGCAGAGGTGCCGCCAGCGCCTCCGCTGGATTCTCTATTCCATACTTTTCCGCTCGGAAAGGTGCGTGGCACGAACTTAATCACATTTTAAGTGTGGATAAAGACGTCGTACAAGCATAATTTTTAGATTTTGAGGATGCTTGGAGCCCGTAATATAAGTTATCACAAAGAAGAGGCGATCTTAGAAACGTCTTCAGTGAACCTTTAATGGTGCGTAAAACAATTTGCGCTATGGATTTTTTTATCAGCCAGCATCTTCCATTAAAGAGTTCAAAAAATTATAAATTCCTTACTCTTGTTATGAAGTACGAAGTTAGTGGAAGCTGGCAGAAAAAAGTGAAAAGAAATATACTGGTACCTTCGAGTGACTGGCGTATTCAAACACCAGGGAAATTATTTTTAAAACTATTCTGGTCGTTGTCAATCTCGAGCTCTGTCTGATGGTAGTCATTGGATTCATTCACGAATTCCAAGAACTTCAATATGTGCGAGTGTAGGTCTGAATAGGAATTCAAATTTCGTAAGGTCCGCTCACTTGGCTTATCAGCCCATACGAGAACCTTGAGAAAACCTGAAACATTAGACTTGGTAGAGAATAAAATCAGCCAAACATACCTTAAAACGGTACTCCGGCGTTTTATTCATAGTCGCCGATTTGCCTGAGAAATTGCTAAACACACCAACCCATATCGCTGAAATAGTAACCCAAATATTGGGCCAAAATAAAGTTTTTTCGTGAAGCTAATAAATTCACAATATTGGTCCTCACCGTGTTTGTCAAAGTGAACGTCTCTATTGGCAACAATAAAAAATTGACATCAGGGGAAGGCAGATTAAGTTCGCTCTTTGTACTGTAGTCTTTGTTCCCAACAGATTACAAGCAGCTTCATGGTGCCGAATGAATGTTTTGGAAGCTCGCTCCAGTACCCGCGCAGTAGCTCGAAACAAATGCTCGGCATAGTAAATTTTTAGACTGCCCGCTCGACCTGCAAGCCCTGATGACACGGCACTGAAAAGCGCGGGTATATTTGAATGCTGGTTTTGGTATCATTTTCACTTGCCGATTTCACAATAACAATTTTGAATTCCGCGATACTAAATAGCATACCGGAAAGAGTTAGAAGCCCGTGATTCCGAAAATATGCTTAGTTCGGGTAGCTCTAAAAACCACCGGAGTACCCCTTATGTCTAGCTGAGATCTATCCAATAACGTAAGTGTATACACGTTTGCAAGCCACCACGCATCAAATGCTGGTCTGGCGACCGCGAGTGGAGAACGCTTTGTTGGACCACCGGTCTTGCAACTGCGGGCATGACTTAGCAATGCTTGATTGTCAGCCGAAGTACACACCAGCAGCAAGGAGGGGGCTCCAGAGGCACTTCTTGCAAACGTGTATAGACATCCCCAAAGATGCGACCCCCAACTGAGTGTTTTTGACAATGCTGTAGTGCATCTGATACCTCATCTCACGCAGCAGTAGTGTCCTCTGTAGATGCTGAAGACAACGGCGACAACAATGCTGTTGTGGAGCAGAGCGCAGTCAACGAACGCAATCAGCAAAACGAGAAGGCTGACATGGATCGGGAAATTCGTCAGATGAGGGCAGCTCTCGTCGACTCCTTCAACAAGCAAATGGAAGTCAGGTAAAGATTGCACCACGGTCGAAGAAGAGAGAAAGGGGTCGGAACAAGGACACAAAGGGAATCGAAATTCCACTCGGGCTTTGCGCATATCTCCCGGCAAGGGCACTGTCGGGTTGGGGCTATTCGCGCAGGCGCGGTAGCGCACCTCGCGGCCTTGAAGACATGTGCGCCAATAAGGCCGGTTCCTCGAGCTTCTGTCGTGATTTGCCGTGGTAGGTGTGACAATCACTCGCTTCATCCAGCGGAAGAATATTGCAAGGCTGTTCAGCACGCAGCGTTAGCATCGATAATGCCCGCAAAAGCGCCACAACAGCACTCCTCTGCCCTACGAACTCTAAAGAAAAAGGAAATGTCTTCACCGTTGGTCAAAATCGTGAAGTGCCGCATAACGAATCTTTCCTCGAAACACAGCTCGCTTACCGCTGACCTTGTTTCGACCTTGTTTCTAAGCATTGTCCTAAGCGTTTAAGTTTGTTTCTAAGCTTCAGTGAAGCTATGGTGGGCTTGTGAAGTCCCTCGATGTACTTCATTTTGACCGTCCATATTTTGTAGTGCAGGGTCGCGCTGCTTTCCACTTATCAATGGCTCTCCGGCCCGCTGCACCCCACCACATGCTGAATCACTGAGTCACTTTTGCAAAACGCTGTCGTCACACCTCCCCCTTCTAGCCCACCATAATGCTGTGCCATCTAACGGCGTTTGGCAGGAAAGGGAGTGAGCCTTCGACACACTTGCTCCGTGACAAGGCGCCGCCTTTCAGAGACATATTTCTTCAGTCATCGTGGCTCGCACCATCTTCGGTTAACCGCTACCCGCTACTTGGTTTTACTTTAAGTCAAAGCGCAGCCAAGGCTACTTGCCGATGAAGTCAATTAAGCAGGGTCGAAATGGCAACGTCATGGCGTGCGTTCGTTGTCGTTTTGTTCGTGTGCCCTCAACAGATGAACCAAACAGAGTGAAATGCGCCGTGTCCTCGTGCTTTTAGTCTCTCTCTCTCTCCTTCCCTCTTTCTTCTTCTTTTTGTATATCGTCTAGGCTTTGAGTGCGTCCTGAGGTTTTGTGAAACAAAATATACATTTGTTATTATTGACATTGAGGCGAGCATGTGAAATTATTGAGCGTTTTATCACGTCGGGGATGAACCTTCATGGAACACCGTTTCAGGCAATGTAACTGTTTTATTGTTTGTGCATAAAAAATGTTTGATAGTTCCAACTGAAGTTCTTGGAACAAAAAAGACGCAACTCTTCCTCAGTTGCAAGTAGTGACAATGTAATGGGCGCCGACAGTGCCGATGTTAGAAAGCAGACGGTGGTCTCATGAACAGGAAGGCGCCATACTTTGGTTAAAGAGGGTATAGAATGGGTCTCAAACTCATTTGAGTGTGGGGGCCGGATAGCAAACACCGGTAAGGTCGAGGGCCAGCTAAGACCCCGCGGGGGTGATTAAAAAGATTTCAATTAGAACTCGTGCTCTATGTTTTTCGTAAACTCACAGTTTTGCCAGTGACATCTGTATATTTGATTTGTTTATATGACTACTTTAGGTAGTGCCTTAATGTCATAACATGAGTTAAAATGACACTGCCCCGCCAACGTTTTCGCATTTTTAATAGAATCAGGGGGCAAGTACAGTGTCGTTTCCGTTGCTCAATTCACTCAGGAATTGACTAAGCTCAACACGTCTCTAAAAAAAAAAAAAAAAATCAATTAATTTAATATTGCTTGCTTTCCCCGCGATTTTTATTACAACACTCTGAACAAATACGTGTTTTTTAATGGCTATATACTTTTGCAGAGGAAAATTCCGAGCTCATAGCTATATTTTTAGCAGTTGTTGCTGCTGATCAAGAGTTTGCGCAGACGAGATGCATCCTTCGACGAAAAGCTCGTGCTTGCAGAGTAGAGAAATTTTTCTACATTACAAAAAAAAAAAAACTGGGAAGAAAAAGAAAAGCGAAACAAAGGGCAAATGAACACAGATAGGTATAAACTATGTGAATACCTAAAGAGAGCACAGCTACTTTTTGAGCAAAAAATTAAGCTGGGAGATGAGATCACTATGGCGCATGCCATTTCTAGCGCTCGAGACATAGTAACCAGGACCCGTAGCCGGTTGCCTGCAGGCCGTTTACCAGTGAGTCGCGGGCCGCGTGTTTAAGACCCATGTAGAGTATAGATTATGGGAAAAAGCCTCTGTTGCTTACTTTACTAATTCATATGGTGATATAGGCTCGTTTTTTCAAGTGTAGGGGTAGTTAGTTCGATTTTGAAGATTATGTAAGGCTTCAGTCGAAGTAAAGTGAGAGACTTCAACAATTTTATAACAATAGCTTCTAAGTTGAGTGTTAACTGCACCCAATTACAAATATCGATGTCAGTTACGTCCTATTCATCAGTGATTCTAAACAGTGCCCTTTATAATAAAATACATCCCTCGATTATGAATATATTTTCGTATAAATATTGTATTACATTTTTTTTGTATAAACGCAGTGACCAATACAAAAAAAATATTCCTATCAAATATTAGAAGTGCTTGGTTATGCTTTCCGATAAAATGTTTCTTCTGGTAGCCTGCCGACTCTGTATAGTCCGTGTTATATCACCTATATTTACGTAATAATCATTCAGTGAACAATACCTGCATTTTTCTTTTCTAATCGATCAGAAAGACTTTTTTCTTTTAATTTGCCTAGTCGAATTCTCGTTATCGTGTTCGGAATCATCAATCTGGCCACTCATTAAATTACGATGCCGTACCTCAATCCCTGGGCAAGCAAGGACGATACAGGTCCAGGCAAACATGCGTCCGGTTCCAAATATGAGATCAATTGTGGACGAAACCTACCACTGAGACGGAGTGCATGTGCCTCGTGCGCAAACGGACCCACGAACAGGTCGATATGTCAAAAAATGATGGGAGTTTCGGCCCGTGTTCGTCATTCTTCCGGAAATAATGGAGCTTCAAGGACTATAATCTGTATCGCCGTATCTCGTGAATCGATGATATCAATGTCTGTACCCTTCCCAGGCGCAAGATGATGGAGATCGATAACTGCCTGCTGGCGCTCAGCACGGACTTGGAGAAACTCAGCATTGTTATCAATCAGTACGTGCATGTTTTATGACTTTTGTTTTTCTGTGTTGTTGTTGTCGTCGTCGGGGTTGTTTGTCGCGTGATTCATGCGTATTTAAAGAGGTCACTGGCATATCGCTCGTTTCTTCTCGGGCTAAAGTATAATGTGGTGCGCTGAAAAGTGCGTGTACAGATTAATTAAAAAGTGATCGGACGAGAATAAGAAAAAAATGTAAGTTGTTGAAAAATAAAAAAGTTTTAAAAAATGGGAAAATGATTTTTTTTTTTTTTTTGCTGTGAACATAACAGTGTTTAACGACGAGATTTATATATATATAACCTTTATCTTTATGTGCATGTTTTATGTTTAAATGTGAAATATTTATAACTTATAACTTCATAACGTTCATGCAAATTAACCTGCGTTTTGTAACTTTGAGATTGATGGAATATTACCTTATAGAGAGAGATAATATTCTCTTCAGAGATCTACAGGTCAAGCGTAATTTCTTTTTTATATATGCGTTTTGAACATTGTATTACGTTGTACCGTTTGCTTTTAGATGGGAGACTGAAAAAGTGAAGTTTGAAGTAGCCGACAACCAAGGTAAGAGTCTGCATTGTACTTTCCCGTTAGTATCGTCCGGATCATAAGTAATTTTAGTCAGGTCGATAAAATAACTTTTTTTTCCGCGGTTCTACTCGATGTTTGCATTGATGAAGAAGACGAAGAAGACAAATCAGTTTATGTCTTTTTTATGTACAGACGACAGGGGCATGGGCAAAAAGCCGACACATGTTGGCTTGACTGGGCTTCACTCCGTTTTCTTGGCAGAGGCGGATAAGCAAATTGTCACAAAATGTAAACAAAATCGATAATCATGCAGCAGGAAGATTAGTGAGAAAAGCATGTAGACACTTGTCACCGGGTAATAGAACACTGATATCATAAGACACTAGAGAAAAATAAGGGAGCTATAGCAACATATTTTTGATGACAAGAGGTTTTAGTGTTTTTATGGTGAAGTTGTTGCTCCTTAGATTGTTTAATAATGATGGGAGGTGGTGTCTCAACATCTGTATTCTATAGTTTCTTCTGCCGTATGGTACCTTCCAGACCTCCTCATTAGGAGTCGGAAAAAAATTTACACTTCGTGCTGGATCAACGATCTCTTGAAATAAAGGATTGTTCAGTTTAATGCTCGCTGTGTATCTTAAAATTATTGTGTTGTCATACAGGTTGGTAACTGGTATGATATGCAGAGTCTTAAAAAGGGGCTGTGTATCAGAATAATATGGCGCATTGACGATACTCCGTATGGCCTTTTTCTGAGAGACATGAAGATTGTTTATGTTGGTTAAAGTTGTGGTTCCCCAAACCAGATGACAATAATTTAGATGTGAAGAAAATAGAGAGTTGTACAAAAGGAGTTTAAGTTTTACTGGGAGGTCGAAGCGAAACCTGTTAGAAATGCCAACGGCTTCCGAAATCTTGCGAATGAGATTTTCAATGTAAAAATTCCCATGACAATTTTTTCTGAAAAATTACGCCCTGGCTTTTAGCACTAGGTAATATCTCAATGATGTAGGACCCAATGACAAGGTCGAAAGTCGAAAAACATAGACTCATTCCTCGGTTTAAAGAGCACTGCCTTAGTTTTGGAAGTGTCAATAGGGAGTGAATTTACAGAGCTCCATCGGTGAAGCGAGTCAAGAGTACGATTTGCGACTCGCGCGAGCCACCTTATCTTGCGCAGAAAAAAATAAACTAGTGTCATCGGCATATATAACAAAAGTTTCCTCCGTACTAATTTTAATAATATCATTGATATATATATATGTATTTAAAAAAAGTAGAGGACCCAGTATACTTCCTTGGGGAACACCGGCAGTTAATGACTGTAAATCTGAACGCTGATTGTCGATCACAACACACTTCTGACGAAATTCTAAATATGAAGCCACAACGTTAAGAGTTACCCCACGAAAGCCGTAAAACTCAAGCTTTTTAAGTATAATGATATGATTAATGCGGTCAAACGCCTTAGAAAAGTCCACAAATGTACCGAGAGTGGTACACTTTTCTTCAAATAATTTCAAGGTTATTTCTTTCTGTGTCAGCAAGGCGAGTTCAGTCGAACGCCCCGAAAGCCATACTGCGAGGAAATCAGAAAATAGAATTGGTTGCAAAACGAAGAAATTTTTGGTCTGGATGAGTTTTTCTAGGCACTTAGAGGAGACCGGTAAAATGGAGATAGGCCTGTAATTAGATTGGTCATTCTTGTCGGCACCTTTAAAAATAACCACCACCTTGGCAATTTGCATTTGACGCGGAGAAGCACCCGAAGAAATTGCAACATTGTAAATGGGGGTTATACAGGTGCTAATAAGTCCAGAACGTATTTTGACAGGCCTGATTTGAATATCCTCAATGTCACTCAATTTACTAGTTTGGATTGAATTGGACGTATTGAAAACTTCGTATCCGTCAGTAGAGTAAAAAAAAAGGCACTGCTTTCATTGCGGGTTTCTAGGAAGCTTGTCGACAGAGGGTTATGACTGCTATGAACAATGTTAGTGAAATAGTTGTTACACGATTTCGCGAGTTCTTGTCTGCGCAATATTCTATCGCCAATTTTAATTTCTAAAGTGCTATTGTTTACAAGAGATTGATTTAGGAGTTGATTTACTATTTTTCATGTTTTGTCTACTCTTGACATTGTGGCTTCATTAAATAAAGAGGGCAAATAATTTGCTTTGTTTGCCTGAGCATTTTAGTCAGTCTATTTCTGTGTCCTGAACCTTTTTAAATCGCCAGCCTTCCTAGTAATAATAAATTTATGGTATAGTTTATTTTTTATACGAATCATCTTAAGACATTCTTGGGTTACCCACAGCTTATGAGTGTTTTTCTTTTGTTGGAGTGGTTTATAATGAAAACTACTGTTATATGCTTCAGTAAAAAAGAGATTGGAAATTGAAAGACGCGTTATAATTCCCCAATAGCAGCCGACGATTTGACGCGTAACTTTGTTATCCGTGTTTTTTCTCTCGCAAAGCGAAGTTAGGTTTTCGGCTCACAATTAATTAGTCTATCTAACTTCTAAGTAATCATTATCGATTTCAATAGAACTTTAATATACGTAAAGGAATTCAAACAAAACCATAGTCCCCTCGTATCAAATCTACAGAAAATAAACGTCACGTTTATTAATTAAATTTTATAAAAGACAAAGAACTTTACTTGAATAAAGTTTAATGAGAAGAAAGCTATACTCATTAATGATGTAACCAATATCAGCTACTGGACCAACGCATATTAGGCAAGCTGAAGTAAGACGTACTGACCCATTTGCTACACCGATTAAGTCAATCAGAATTGCCTCATTTGTAAAGGGTACCGTTCAATGCTGTTGTTACTACTACATATAACATAAATTTAAAAACAAATACTCCTTTAGACCTGAATTTTTCCGGTTCTATTTTCTAGCAGACGAGGAACCGGACTACGTGAGGCAAGCCTGGGAAGACATTGAGTACATTCAAGGAGAACAACAGAAATTTCTTGCCTTACGGGAAGATGTCGAGAAGGAATTCGAAGACGCTCGCGATAGGACCTACAAACTAACCGAGGTAGAAATATTCTCGTATTTGTGTTTGCTATTGTCACTGACTTGGTGGGAAGGGCTGGGAGGAACTTCACTAGTGCCGCCTCTAGCGCGAGCTTCCCATCCTTCGACAGCGCTTGGCTGTCTCCTGCACCTCGATTGCATGTGCAACCAGAGCAAGGTCATAACCTCCTCTATACTGACAAAGCCTGGCAGATCGCCACGAGAGGCAACCGCTGACATGGAAAAGGTGGAGCGGCACACAACGGATCAGAGGATAGCCACGTGACTGGCGCCCCGCTGCGGCGAGACGCCGAAACACACTTCTTCCAAGCGAACAAGTGTGTTTCGGGTCCTCGCCGCTGGAAAAGCTAGTGCGCTGACGTCCAGGTTCCCCAAGAAATGGCTCTTTGATGCTCTCTGCTACCAGATCCTCGCGCTCCAAATGTGCGACCGGACACTCTATGGCCCCGTCGTCGAACTGCCAGGCTTTGTGAGGATAGAGGAGGTCATGGCACGGTGGAAGGTCGCGCGCAGGAAGACCGACTTTCAATAGACACGCGCTGTCGTTTTTATTTTGTTAGTGACCATAGAGGCTGTTTTTTTTTTAATATATCACCGTCTTTTAATGCTACTGACAGTGTTGCTTTTTTTTCTTTTCTTCTTTTTACTTTCCATGCGAAGGTAGCCCTATAGGCAATATGGTTATTTATATTCAAATTCAAATTATATTTTTAATCAAATCATCGCATCGCTTCAGTTAGAAGTGTTCGGTGTATCAAATTTTAAACGCGGAAGACATACCTCAATTCATTTTTATGAGCTAGATTATTCGAGACCATACTATTAAAAAATCTGTGAAACTGTAACTTTGGTGTATTAATTATTGCCCTATACTGGCGAATTTAGATAGAAATTGATTATAAAAGGCACAACGCAGTCATAATATTGTTGTCCAAGACTAATTAAAAAAAAATATATATATATATATAAACTTCTCAAAAGACACTTCTCATAAATTGATCAGAGTGTCGGCACACTGTAAGAGATATACCTGATCACCTATAAAACATACTCATGAAGTCGTAGGTAATCTTCAAAGTGTCGCGATACTGTATGCATAAATATAAGAACGTTATTTGAGGGGAACGAATAAATGAAAGGATAAAACATCGAGGACGGGGACGGAAACAGAACTTGTTTCAAAAAGTTCTGCTTCCTTGCCAGTCCTCGATGTTTTATCCTTTCATTTATTCGTATTTATTCACTAACACGTTCGTTTTCACTTATTGTTTGAGGGGGAAAGCTCGAAGCAAGCCCTATTCGTTTCTTGTTCGCAGAGCTAACATATACTCTATTTACAGCGGCAGAATCATTCATTGCGTGAGAAATACATCAGTGTTGTTAAGGAGTGTCGGTATCTTCATTCAGCAAATTGATCTTTGGATTTCAGAACTTACCAAACGTCGTGAGCTCTGAGGAACAGCGAGAGCTTCTCAGGCTTCTCACACAAGTTCACAAGTTAGAGGTCGAAAGTATCCTTTCCTGCACCGAAAGTTATGGGCTGAAACGCAATATAACATTGGTGATCCAAAATAATGGAACGCTACTTAAACAAAGTGCGCAAATCGGTGTCGCGGGGTACAACACCATGATGCGTCCAAAATGGGGGTGGGTCATTCCATGCCAAGAAAGACGCGTCAATTTTTTATGTCCGCGATATGCATGGAAAAAAAAATCATTTGGATAAAGAGGCATCTAAACTTTAAAAAAGGTGTGTGTGTGTGTTTTTTTAATTATAAATTTTATTTTTGTTGGATTTCTGGAATTCGCATAAAACATATAGTTAAGAAAAATATTGTAAAAAACGGTTGGTTATCACATAAATTCAGGAGGGCGCCTAATTACTTAATATTATGGCCTATCTGACATTAAAATGCAAAAATTGAAAGACGACAATTTGAACCACAATCGGAGAGCTCCAAATAGAAGAGACTTTAAAAAAAAAATTTTTAATTTTATTTAGTCAATTTTTACTTGGTTGTTAACTGCAATACTTTTTCTTTTATTCTCTTAAAACTAATAATTAAATTGCTCATATTAAATTTGCAAAGCCTTATTTTATTTCGTTTTAATTAAATGCCAAAATCTCCAGTTTATGCAGAAGCGGTCATATTGAGAGCCAGAAAAAGCAATGTGGGCAGCGGTGCCCAAAACTTTCGAATAAGCCAAAAGTTCATTCCACCTCAACTGTTTAACATATAAAAAAAAAAAAAAAAACTATAAAAGTATTTTTGTTGTTGCTGAGAAATTATTTCTTTTAAAGATAAACCTCTCCGACCACACCTCCCGGCTCTCGCCTCGTAGTCGGCGCGCACTCCGGCGTGCGCCAGCGAGGCGTCAATGGCGTGAGACGCCGCCGCAAAATTTCCAACGCTCTGCTGAAAACACGTTCTATTTTCATTTTAAGTGGATGTCATCCTGACTTCCCATCCCATCCGTACCCTCTCTCCGTTACCTAATGATACCGGCGTCTTAATTTTACTCCACTTCTGTCCAAGTACTTAACTGCCAACGAACGCAGGCCTGCATCGTCTGCTTTCCGAGTTTGGGAATCCGTACTGCGCGTCTGCATCGTCTGTCGTATATGTCCAGATATAAAAACGATTCCGACCGGATAGCTCTTCACCGATGCGAAATGATAACGGTGATTTTGCTTCTCTATTGAATTTGACTGCATTTTGATACAATATAGCGCTACCAAAAGGCAGTACTGTAATGATGGAAAAAGTGTTTCACTCTTGGCGGTGGATGCCTCACACCCCTGCGGTTCCGTCCATGTGCAGTATTGTAGACTCCGGAATACACTGGAGGCCAGCAAAACATGTCTCGAAATTTGAACTTTCTAGTAATTTTAGATTTTTAGAGGAAGTGTGTTTGATAAGAGATGGGAGTTACACCGGTGCCGTCTTCGCCATCTTAGTGTCACGCTAGGCGGACATCAGATGAGGTAATAACCGTCATGGTAAGCCGGCTTTTTAACAAATTGTTGATTGAATTTTGATGACTGGTTTTATGGCTCACGTTACCATTGCAGTATTGATGTCAACTACTATCAGAGGCTTGACCAATTAACAGAACTTGTAAAAGGGTAATAGTTTCTTACATAATATATAACGACCGGTTCTCGCATTTTTAACCTTTATTTCAGTAATGCGCGTAAAAAGATTACCACAAGCCGTGCCCACAATGACGCTTAGGAGACTGACGTAGTCATTTCGATGACATCGCCACCATCTCGGCCGCGCGTCTTTGATGGATGCGACAACAAACTTCAGTACATCTTAGTTCTCTCTGAATACATATAAGTTCAATGGGTGACATGACTGTCACCATTTTTCATCGGGGAAGAGCTATCCGGTCTGAATTGTTCTTACATCTGTACATACGACAGACGATGGCGACGCGAAGTACATGCATTCCGAAACTCGGGAAGCAGACGATGAAGGCCTGCGTTTGTCGGCAGTTACCTGGGCAGAAATAAAGTAAAATCAAGACGCCAGTGTCATTATGTAACGTAAAGAGGATATGGAAGCATGGAAGTCAGGATAATATATCCACTTAAAATGAAAATAAAATGTGTTTTCAGAAGAGCGTTGGAGTGGAGATCTTGCGGCAGCGTCTCACGCCGTTGACGGCTCGCTGGCACACGCCGGTGCGCGTCGCCTACAAGGCGGGCGCCTGGAGGCATGGTCGGAGAGGCTCATCTATAAAAAATATAATTTCTCAGCAACAACAAAAATTGCTTTTCTGATTTTTTGGGTTCATTGACAAGATGAGGTGGATTGAACTCTCGGCTATTTCGGAAGTTTCGGGCTCCGCTGCCCACGTTGCTTTTTTTGGCTCTCAATATGGCCGTTGCCGCATAAACTGGAGATTTTGGCATTTAATTAAAACGAAACTAAATGATGCTTTAAAAATTTAATACGAGCAATGCAATTATTATTCTTAAGAGAACAAAAGAAAAAAGTATTGAAGCTAACACCGACTTTCGAGTAGACTAGAAAAAATAAAGAAATCTCATAAAGTATTTTCTTTTTGGAGCTTCTTTTTAGACTCAAAATGGCGTCCTTTAATATTTGTATTTTAATGTAAGATACGTTTATACCGCTGGCATATTATTAAGTGATTAGTCGCCAACCTAAATTTGTTTGATACATAATCGTTTTTTACAATATTTTCTTAACTACATAGGTTTTATGTAAATTTTAAGAATCTGAGCATGATTTTAGCAAAAATATAATGTATTTTTTCGCAAAAGAAAAACTTTTTAGAGTTCAGAGGTTTCTTTATCCAAATTAATTTGTTCGTACCTTTCCCAGATACGAAAAAAATTGCCGCGTCTCCTTTGGCATGAAATGGCCCGAGCGAGATGGAGAAGTTTCAAGCAAACACAGAACTTTTCTTACGGTTTAATTAATAGAGAAGACAATTTGTTACTTGAGTGAACAAGCACCACTCTGATAAATTAATACATTTGTCCATGTTCATGGATCAACAGACAGTCCTACTCATCTGGCTTCTCTACACTTCCGTATTCCTGTTGGCAGAAGCTCTAGAAGTCGCAGAATATTTTACCCAGATCCCCATCACAGTTTGTCACCAGTATCACGAATCCAACGTGTTTCAAACACAAATGTGTGCAACATTACGATTTTGTAGAAATTTGCTCCCTTTTAAGCATGTGTATAAATTTTAAGCACGTTTATGTTTTTAAGCTTGTGTATGACATTTAAGCATGTATGTTTGTAGCGAGTATGTGCATCACGTTTCGTGTTTTACTGCAAGGGCCTTCGGGCTGTTAATAAGCACGTGAAAAATAAACATTAGATTAAATTGAATTGAATTGAAATAAAAATCGCATAAAGTGAAGGAACTGAATAATTCTGACTTTGATACCTCTGGCCAGCTTTTGCAAATCAAACGTCCCAATTACCCACCGTGCTAATTTTATTTCCATAATAATTTTGTTTAACTAAACACATGCATACTTGCCATTAACTAAATCTCTTTACTTTTCAAATTTTGGCGGGTAGGGGTATGTTTTCTGTGCTTTCGAAAACAGTTTTAAACAATGTTTCATACACTTGGAAGGAAATTCTTCACGGACCACTTTATTGGTTCTATTAAAAGTAATATTTCAGCTGATTCAAATATTGTAATTTGTCTTTTAGGCTAGCAAAAAAAAAGAGTAGAGTGGTACGCAAAATCAGACAATTGAGGTGTTATATTGCCTTAAAACAGCCCCGCTGAAGTGTTTACTCCTGCTTGAATGGTTGCGGTAAAACAGTCGCTGTAATTAACAAAACTTAACCCTGAAAACTGTCAGAAATTGAAATGCAAACGGATCAGTTGATCAGAGAACACGAACTTCGGCAGCGGGATTTGATGATCGTTCGATATGATCGCCAACGTCTCTTATGTGACGAGATCATCGGAAAGCAGAAAATTCTCATCAATGGTAAGGCTTACAAATCAGCTAATGGTTCTGCGCACGTGATATTGGCCTGTCCGATGGCATCATCTATGTTTCATTCTACTCTTCAACAGAACTTTCATCTGGAATGCGGCGAAGGAAAGCTCGAAACGGTGAGTTTACACTTTACTATGTTTTACTTATACTGCGTATTTTAATAACAGGCAGCAACTTTTGAAGACCTAAAAAAGCTGTTTAGAATCGCATATAATTGTAAATGTACAAACAAAAAATGCTAAAAGTGTTCATTCTTGCTTTGTTTTCTTTCATTCCTCCAGCCCAAGCCGCAAGAGAGCTGAACGAGCTGTATCGGATATACCAGCAGGAGATACAAGACTTAAGTTCCGGAAGAGACTCCGTCATGAAACATCTCAACGTTAATCCTTATCGGGTAAAAATTGACAAGCTTATCTTTCCTTTTACTAAAAACCAAAACACGAAGACGTTCCGGCGGATTGAAAGAACTTGAAAAAGAACCCAGTGAAAGCTTTTCGTGTTGTTCTTAAAAGCATTGAATACATTCCTCAATAAGTGTAACTTGATGAAGGCATGAGATGCAATAGCAATACTCGAAATCTATACCAAATTGACGTCCCGATTCCCGCGCCTAGACACGACCTTAGTCTCGCGACCTTATTTTATGCCTAGTCCAGTGACGTCTTCTGTCGCATGACTAGACGTGTAAGCGACACGCAAAAAGCGTTAGGACCAAGAGATGTATGTGGCCTCGCCTCTGCCTTTGGGCTTCCTCGTGGGCGAGGCCTCACTCGATCGCATTGGCTGGCGTACGCGATTACTAGCCCATTGCTACACACACGGCGTTCATTGTCCGAAAACATGGCACGCGTCTTGGCACAAGCGATTGGCCCAAGATACGTATAAGCCCAAAATGCGCATAATGACTGGGTCAGGTTTGACCAAAGTACTACCCCATTTTTTTTATTTCGACTCAATAACATCGAGTATATTTGCTGCTTGTTCCAGTCAGTTCCTGTGAACCTGTATACTCATTCTTAGTTCTTAACTTTCCAGCCAAACTCCGTGCTCGGCCTTCGCCCGCTGGGGTCCAGCGAAAGCATGTGGGACCTGAGCCCCATGGAACCCCTGAGGGAAGAGGAGGACCGTTCGGAACAGCACGGCCTACCATCGTCCAGGTTCGTAAAAAAACAAAACAAAAACTTTCAGCCTTTCCTCTCTCGTGAAGAAGGAAGAGCAGCGGAGCTGTAGCTTCTGTTCTCGGCGGTGGCTTTCCAGGCGAGCGATCTGCTCTTCTTTCGCAAAGGAATCTGAAGTGCTCGACGCAGTGGAACTTTAGGCGATAGCGGCCTCGCGGCGGTTGCGGAACCATTCGCGCTGCTACGCACATCACCGCCTCGTTCCACTCCCGCTCTTCTTCCTCTGAAGAAATGTTGCCGCCATCTCTGAGCGACGGCGGCAAGCAGACAACCGGCAAACACAAAACTCTGGACAGCTACAGCCATCTATGAGCAACGGCGGCAACCAGACTGTTGTGTCGGCCACGGGTGTCGACATTTGTTCGGCACCGGACGCGTTTGTGGGGAAACTAGACCTTAACAGCTCCGCTGTAAAAAAAAGAGAAAAAAAAAACACAACGAGCAGGTTTTTTAAAAATGTGTCCGTGGCGTCCATAGCGCGGGAATTGACGCGCCAAAGAAAGGGCAACATAAAGACTGGGGGGAACACGCGATGACAAGGCAGCCAAGCACGCGCCGTGATTGGTTGAAGTCAGGGGGAAGCATAGAAGCACATGGTGGCGGGTAAACAAACACACGAGGTGAACAAGGAGCAAACTTGCAGGCCGTAGAAGCGAGGTCACGCTCCTCGTACTGCATACAAAAGTCAGTCTGCAAACACGAGTCACCGCAATATCCGTGGTTCGAATGCCGCGGGCCCAATAAGTTTCTCCTCGAACTCATTGCCATGCGGCATTCGAAGTACGGATCTGGCGGTGACTCGCGTTCAAATTTGTATGCAGACTGACTGTTGTACGATGCATAAGCAGTGTGACCGCGGTTTCAAAAATAGATAACAACGAACCCGGTTCAACAGTTGTATACACTGGTACCAATGTGAGAATTGTTAAAGTTTCGCGTCATCTGCTACAGTTTTACCGTATGTTCGAGGGCGGTAAAAGGCTTCGCTTTATCTTAAGTCCAGACGCAGCCGACGATAGACAAGCTGATGGGAACAAGCAGACAGCGTCAAAAGCGCACCGTCGCGATGCTTGTCGTGTTTTTGTATACGTGTTCTATCATCGCTCAACTAGTCATAAACAGTAAAGGCTTAGTGACTTGCGCTTTTGACTCTGCTTGATTCGTCTGTTCCCCTCGTAGCATCGGCTGCGTCTGGGCTTAAGCTAAGAGTCACAGGCGAGAGAAGCTGAGTCATGCAACATACGTGACAAGGCTCTAGTACCGGATTTTCTACGACAGCCACCGGAGTACTGCGCGGGGCGAAGATTGTTCACTATAGTGCTGCGTCGGCGCTCGGCCTGGGTCTCGTGTTCGCACCGATCGAACGCAAGTATACTTCAGCCGAATGTTGATGCAGCACTCGCGTCTAATCTGTGCTCGTATATTTGTACGGATTGTAGGCTGAAATGCTTTATGCTTTTTCGTCGTACATGCCCGATATGTCTAGCCGTAGCCTCCTCAATACTCACAGAGCCTGGCAGTTCGACGACGGAGCCATATAGAGCGCCCGGTCGCAGATTTGGAGCGCGAGGATATGGCAGCGCAGAGCATTTCTCGGGGAGCCTGTAGTCAACGCACAGCGTTTGCAGCGGCGAGGACCCGAAACATGGTTTTCAAACCCGACGAGAAACGAAGCAGTAGCGCGAGGAACGCGAGAACTACGAGCAGACATTTCATCGCTCGGGAGAAGTGTGTTTCGGCGTCTCGCCGCAGCGGGGCGGCCGTCACGTGGCTCTTCTCCCATACGTTGTCTGCCGCTCTACCTTTTCACTTTCGGCGGCCGCGTCTCGTGGCCATCTGCCAGGCTTTGTCAGTATAGAGGATGCTATGGTCTAGCAGGTGGCTGGGGACGAGAGTGAACAAAAAAGGTGTATAGGAGACGTTGGCCCAACGAAGGTCTCTCCCGATGTCGTCGGCTGTCGGCAGCGCTCTGAGCGCGTGTGTCGTTTCTTCCAGTCAGAGCGACAACGTCACGGTCAGGCACCTTGTCCGTGGTCACGGAGATGCCGGAGCCCTCGTCGGAAGAGTGGCGGGAGCTCCGGCCCACAGAGGCACCCTGTCCGAGCCGACGACGCCCGGAGGTCGTCTGCTGTCACAGCTGCCTCCCGTGGAGGTAAACACGCACGCGCGTCGACCAATTTTTTTGTAGACAGACGCACCTGTGCCAACTCTCCGTGGTACCAGAAATCTTAGTTTATATGCGCACGTCACGCTTCCACAAGATTGACCTTGTTCAAAGGTCCATCAAGCAACACTGGCAGTCGCCATTTCTTGGCTACGAAGCGTGTGATTGGATGCGAGACTTTGCCGAACGCTGACGTAACACTCGTGTCCAATAGAGGCTCAGAGTGCGTGCCCAAACAATGGCGGACTCGGATGATCGGTGCACCAGCTACTATAGTCAGTTACAGGTTAAGAAGGTAGCGGCAAATGCCCCTCAAAGGGAATCAGATATCCCTCCGCCACCTCCGCATCCAATAGCGTCCCACCGTTTCCGTGACGTCGCGGCCAACGCGCGAGGAGGGTCTTGCCTTTCTGTACATATTTGCTTTATCTTTCGACTTTGACTTAGCATTGTGGAAGCCACGAGAGGGCGATTAGAGTTCTCCCCCACCGACGGAAACAAATACGACTTTCGGGGATTAGCTTCCCCCCTATGGATACAAAGGCTGCTTTCAGGGGCTCGGTTCCCTCTCCGATGAATACAAAGGTCGCTTTCTTAAAAAGTGGGATCGGAGATAAGTGGGAATCCATTGAAGCGGAACAAGGAGCGTTTCCAGTGAACTCTTCTTTCGACCGCGGAGAGATTTGAAACGGGCGCATCACAGTTGTGGGAGGAGCTTCTCCTACCTTCTTGACTTGTAACCGACTATAGACGGCGCGCATTTTTGGGAAGGGTCTGTTTTAATTCAATTCCGTTAATCATATTTAAAATAAAGAACTACAAAAGGTATCCCCACACAAAGCGAAACGTCAGACCCAGGATAACCACGTTAATTGGGGACTTTATTTTCGAAAATAACAAAGTGGTCCACGTCACAGTCCTGTAACATCAGCCAGTTTTCAGCGTGCTTGCAACCTTGGAAGATGTACACCCCTTTACAAAAAAGAAAACAAGCAAACAAATGTCATTTGCCTAAAGCACTATAACGAAGCTGGGCTGTTTGAATGTCCTCGTCATCTAAACCTAGATCGGCGACCTAAACCCCTTTCTTTTCCGACCGCTTCTATTCCTCCTGGGGTCGTTATAAACTGCCTGAACTTGGCAAGTTTTTGAACAAATATCACGAAGAGGGACATTAAAGACAAACAGACAAGACAGGCTGTAAGACAAGACAGCTTGTCTTGTCTGTTTGTCTTCTTTCCTTATCGTAAATTAGAGACCAACAGGCTCAAACATCTTCAGCCGCTTACTGCTCCTAAACAAGCGTGTTCGTCCGTAGGGGCACCTCCCATTCACATACACGCTTACCGAAGAGCGAAGCCGGTGCTCCTACCTTGGCGTGATGTTCAGAATCATGATTGTTTCGCATGTTGATGTTGCTGTCGCGTCCTCAAAGACAATACAGGTACCTGGTACTGGTTTTCTTATTCGACTCTTTGCCCTCTTACTTTCTTCCCCAAGTTGACAAACTACGTCAGCCATCGCGACGACATTGAAGCTAGCACGAGGAGAATTTCAAGCTTGGCGCAACAGCGAAAATCGCTTCGGACGGCGGAGAGGACGTCGGATCACTGGGAGAGAACTCCGGACACGCCGCAGGTGCGACGGTACATCGGCAGCATCAACGGCGGCGGCCCGCTGTCGTCCTCCATGGGCAACGGTTCGGGCTTCGAGAGGAGTCGACTCCATGCCAGCCTCAGGTAGCGAGTTGACGCGTCACACTAAAGGCGCATTCCCACCTCTCGTACACCGTGCAAAAGAACACACAGAAAAAAAAAAGAAAAAGACGCGGAGTTCTTTGCGAACATTATGACGGAATTATCTGCGAACACGCGTCGAGTTTGGGCCGTCACGCAAGGAAGAAACACGCCTCATACAGTTAAGAGAGTTTTAGAGAACCGTTTTTTATACATCCCATACGGTGCGATGGGTCCTGTGGTACGAACTGCGCATGCTCTGCCACAGAAGACTCGCGCATGCGCAGGTCGTACCTGAGGGCCTATCGTACCGCATCAGATGGGCAAAAACGGTTCCCTAAAACTCTCCCCTGTCTGCCGTACGATGTAATACCGTAATATCCCGAGAGATCGCCCACCTAAAATCGAGAGCAACATCGAGTGAAAAATAAGAAGTGAGCTAACTTTTGGTGTGCGATCGAGAGAAAGTCCAAACGAATGTTAGTTTTAGGTCATATGTCTGCCAAAGTTGTTATTGCGGAGAGGGGCAATAAAGCAAAGATGATTGTACGTTCCAAGTGAAAAATGTTCGCTTATATCCGCGCCATGGCTAACTAGAAGCATTTAAAAAGAAGCCATCATTGATTCAAACTCTGGTTACTGAGAGTGGGCGATCTTTTGGTATTAAAAAATATATATATAAGTAAATCAAGCCGTAAATAGGGGCGGATTATCTTTCGGGGGTGGGGCATCTCTTGGGACATTACGGTGGTATCCATTTATAAAACCACGTGCCGAATGTCAGAAGGTCGCAACCACTGCACAATGGCAGAAGAACCAACAGCGCGTTACGGGCAAGTGATTCATAGGTTGTAAAGTAGCCAGCGTTAGAAGCCGACGACCCAACAAAACAGTGCCAAAAACACAACTTCACTACGTTCATCACTTTCCTCTAGGTGTGTTATTGTTATGTAATCCAACCGAACGCAAACAAAAAGCGCAGTGACATGGCAGTTTAAGTTTGCATGTAAATGTTTGCGTGTCCGCCATTGGTGCAGGGATTAAACAACTTCCAACAGAGGGCAGACTGTCTTAAGGGGTCTAAGGAACATCCTAATATTCGCCTCCACGGCTGTGGAAAGCTTCTCAGCATGCGCTGTTGTTCTGCTGTGCGGTATAGCAGACGCTGCGCATGCGTTCACGGCTCAGTGACTCAGCATTTTTTGTCCGGGGGATAAGCGCTGGAAAGGTGTACAGACCATTCTACTAATCGACATCTGCTCACGGCCATCTTTGTCTAGTAAGCTGTGAAGGACGTTGTGAGAGCGCTGAGTCGCTCTCTTCTGCGAAACATCAAGCTCTGCGCATGCGTCCATAGCACAGTGACTCAGCATTTTTTGCCTGGGTGATAAACGCTGCAAGAATGCAACTTTGTGGGAGAAAATGAACGGCTGACGCTGGTCAGACGTCATTATCGTTATCACCCACCTTCCTGACATATAATAATGACGCCGCGATTTCGCGAAGATACGCTCGCACCTTCCTTCATAACGTTCACCAACTAGCCCAGTTACAAGTTCTTGTACCCTTGACGTGCACTGGTCAAGCCAACGTTGCCTGGAGCGCGTCTCCGACTGATTTGTTCAGCGCCCCATTCCACCCACGCATCCAAAGTGGTCCGGCAGTGTCAACAAATGACGTCAGAAATGCAGGAGTGTTATGCTGTCGGATGTCGCGATCCTGGTGGTTGGTGGTAGAATCTCGGGCAAAACGTACGAGCGGACACGAGTGTTGCTACCGTCCCGGCGTTCCAGCCACTAGTTGCTGAAGTTTCCGTAGGCTGTCAAGCTGGAGAGAGACCTGCAGCAGAACTGGCGTCTTCGCCATCCACCACCGCTGCTGTGACACCGCCAGGATCGTGGCGGCGACAGTATGACGCTTCTATGGCGTCACCAAGCAAAAGTAGAGGAACCCGTTTTTTTTTTTTGTTTTTTTTTTTTTTTTTTTGGGGGGGGGGTGTTTTAGACGCGGTAAATGCTTTAGCCGGAGACACGTTTCAAGGCCCGTCTCCAGAGTGTTGGCGTCCGACTTTCTTCATCCACCGCATTTGCTAGATGTTGATTGCTTTTGTCGAGTGCACCGGCCCTGTATATATGGACATGGAAAAAGGACCCACACTGGCATGCACGGCTGGTGTGCGTCTTGCGTTGCTACGTGCGTTTTGTTGTATCAAAATGCACCGAAGACAACGGAACGGGAGTTTTGGGGATGTAAACTCGGAGCAAGTGCTCCCGACCTGGACGCCAGTTATGAAACGAGGCAACTGCCTTAGCGAGTGTCCAGGTTTATTCTGGTCAATTTTCCTCTGCTGTACGGTACTAACAAGCATTCCATAATACCATAAACCTTAACTTAATTGTTTTCTCACTGTACAGTGCCCATCATTCAGTAGCATTCCAAAACGCTCCATTCTCTCCTTTCAGAAGAGAGTCCATTGATTCCCTGCCTCACTTAGAAGACCAAAAAACGCAAAGGAGGAAAGGTACTGAACCTGATCATTTTCATCTGCTAGCTGTGTTCTGCATGTTTCCTGTTGCACGAGAGCAAATATAAGCGCATGCTTCTTAAAGCAGTAGATCATCTTTTTACTGATGAGTAGCCAATATGTGATATGTATCATATTATGCGTACCAATAATGACAATATTGGTAGGCGGTCGGCCGACGGTTTCTGGCACTTGTCCGATTCCTTAAGGCTATCCAAAGCAATTGGTTGCCAGTTACCGCCATAAATATCGCTCCGCTATATTATGGATTACAATATCTGCTATAGAACAATATGGTTGTTGGTCACACATTGAACGTCTCATTTAATGGTTGGTGACTAGTTCATTACATCAAAGTCATTTAATCACAGACACTAAAACAGTATAATCTCAAGTGAGGAAACAAGTATTGATATTTTGCGCATGCAGAAACAATCTCCATAACTATTGATCCATGTATGTTTTGTGCACGTTTAACATGAAACAGCATGACATCAGCAAACGAGTTAGATGGACATATGTACATATCGCGCACATAGTAAAATAAAGTATCAGCAACTCCTTTGAGATGCTGCAATCGAGGGCATTTCACACGAGTTTGTCACATATGCCATTCATTCAAAGACACTTTCACATCGTAGCTACGCTAGAACTCATGGAGCAGGCACTTTGCACCATACATTTAGACACTCCCTCACTGTACACGACTTCTTGTGTGGACGTAGCCTGTACACCATCCCTTTTGCCAAGCCTCTTGCAATTTTCGACCGTACACAATCCCGGCGTAAACTACCCGACACACTAACCCTTACACCATCCTTGTACGCAAGCAAATGCACCGTTCCCTCACACCATAGTACTACACCAAAACACCATGAACGTAAACAACAGCATAGCTGACCGACAGATGTTGTTTCTGGTATGCTTTCAGAACAAGATTCGTGTAGCATTCAGTAATTCTTCGCGGACGGCGCGGGGGATCACGCTGCTTCCTCGGTGATCTGTGGAACTCTCCTGGACGGTCGTCCTCTCCCCCTCCTCTCCTTGTGTTGTGTTTTTTCCTGTAGATATCGGAATGCGAAACAAGATCCTTCGAGCCGTCGGCACCAGGCCACAAGCCTTCAGGTCGCCACTGGTCAGGAACAAACACGGGGGCATCACGCTTGAAGACGTGCTACGCTTTTATGTGGAACGCTGACGAGTCATCAAGGACTGACAAACATCCGTGTGGAACACTCTGTGACACTGCGACAATCTAGGCGGTGCCAAGAGCTGCGCTGTTGACGTCTCTTCAAGGTCATTGATAGACTCTTCGTGATCGCTGAGTGTGGTGCTAGTGCAGAACTACCACAGCTGCACGGAAAGTTTGTGACGTCGTGAAGAACTAGAAGCAAACCCTGCTAGGTCGGTTATGACCTATTTGGGATTTCAACGCTTTGTTAGATTCATTGGTAGTTTTACTGTTGACCCAAGACGTCGCAACTGACGTACTCTCTGTAGATAATGAGCGTTATAAGAAATAATATAAATACTTTCTGGTTACTCCCTGGAGGTGAGTCGTTCTAACTTCTGGATCATGAGAGTACCTTTATATACACGTTACCGTTCTTAATTTGGTCGATAGTTGTGTTTGATAGAGCTGTATCTGACGTATAGTATACGCGTTTTAAAGTTAGAGTTGTTACATTTGTAAAAGGAGCGCAAGGTTTTTTCACGGACAATGATGCAGACTACATGTGATAGCCATTAGCCTATGGGGATTCAACGTTTATAGCATCGGACTTAAATTCACATATTTCAGATCTGGGTGTTTTTTCTTCGGCGTAGGGACTGAAAAAGTAGTAGGAGTCAAATGGGAGTTCCAATGAAATAGTGCTGCGTCATACATAGTCTTCGCATTGCTTGGCAGATCCACGATACACCAGCTTTCTTTGCAGTCTTGAAGCAAGGGTTGATGCTACACGCAATTCCATTCGAAACAGTATTCCCACGAACCTATTTTTTTTTGTGTGTATTCAGTGGCCAGTTTTTTACTACCCCAACAATTGCCCCCCTCTCCCCCTTAATGCCAATTATAGGAAATAAGGTAACAAAATATGGAAGTGAAAAGCTTTCTCCAAATATTCAGTATCGCACGTGAAGCTCTTGAATGTGTCAATTGATTTTTAGAATTCATATTATTTCTAAGAACGCATTTTTTTGCGAGAAATATATCCTCTTTATTTATTTTTGACTTTTTAACTTTGACCTGTGGCTTATATAGTTCATGATACAAAACGTTCCTCTCTTCTTTTATAATCATATTTATCGCGAGGAGCAGGAAAGGCGAACGACGAATAAAGTATAAGGTCATCTTATTTTCACTTGTGCCTAAGAGCTTCCTGCATAACCAAAAATTGTCATACGATGCATTCGTGGAGCTAGAACTCTCTTGTTTCCTCCTGTGGGAGAGTATGCGCACATCTCGTTTCATCCTTCTCTTCATTTGAACATTGGTCATTTGTAAATAAGAATAAAATACAACCATGAACGTAATGACTTTCATTTGTGAACTCTTCTCACCCACGTGTGCGCAGATCAAATATCTCCAAGACAGATTAAAAAAGAAACACTCATTGAAAAGAAATCTATATTTTAAAATAAGATGCAATACTTCCTCATCATCATGAAACTGCGCCGACCTTGGCATTTCTTATATCGTCCCACATTACGGCGATTGTTTCAAGTGTGACATTGTCTGAAACAGTATCGCTCGTCGGTTGCCAGAACGCAAGAAACGCAGTATTGTGATGTCAACATCGTGCATTCCAAATCGTGGTCTGTATGCTATGCTACCTGTACCATACCCTTTTACTTTTTTATAAAAGCTAGCCCGACGCCAATTCATACACCGTTTCCTCGCGTATGTAATGTCACCGATAGGTTTCGTAGAGAGAAAAAAAAACGCCTTAGAATCATTACACTGTCTCGAACCGAACGTTTTTTAGACAATGCATCCCGACTTTAACGCGATTGTTTAATGGACAACCATATTTGGCACACTGTTGCGTGTCCACGGAAGAAAATATGTCAAGGGGAACGTTGCAACGCGTGTTAAGAAAACTGGTCTGTGCATAGACAGTCTGTGGACTGTTTTGGTCGTACGTATTTGCGGTTTGACCACGGCCTGAAGGTCCCTATGGATTCCTTTACACCCCTCAAAGACAACTTTTCCTATGACCAACGTATGTAATATAGTTTCTGCACAAACAAAAACAATATATGACGTGCTACGCATGTCATACCTATAGTTTCTCACCGTTACAATGCTGGAGCCAGAAGAACGTCTCCTGATACACTATACTTCTGTTTGCAAACACGTAGTCAGCAAAAGGGCTGTTAGAAAAAGTGCCTCACTTTCAAAACTGTGACGAGTTTGTGTTGCGTATAAAAACAGACGGGGGCTGATGGCGGAGAAGCAGCCGTGTCAGCGAGCTTCCGGTTGCTCGTCACAAGATCCCCGGGTGGTCGAAAATGAATCCTCGGTCCTCCGCCGGGGGCGCGGCAGCAACGATCATCACATGCAGGCGACACCACTTTGCGTCGGAAACCGACAAACGATCCTAGAAAACTTGCACGAATCGCTTCAGCGTCTAGGAGCTAGTAGAAAGAATTGCGAAAAATTCAGCATTCAAGACACCCTGTCGCGATATTGCTGAAATGCATGAAGAATGGAGGGCAAACGCAACTAAACCCTGATACCAGGAAAATGCTGTAAGTACACTCGTAGAAAGAGGAACTTGCACGTTATAAACTGCGTCGATGATTTTTAATGCGATAGCATTCTTTATCTATTTCACGCGGTTTTCGCGAGACGCTATCTGGCCTCAAATGCGCAGTGTGTGTGCGCGGCGCGGCGGCGCGGCGCCTATTCATACGCAGCCGCTTCCGCATACGGAGGCGCCGCGCAAATGCGGACGTTGTCCTTGACGTCGCCCTAGAGGTCGTGCGAAAGGACGACGTCCTAGAGGTCATCCGAGAGGTTATCCAAGACGTCGTCTTTGATGTCGAACTCTAGGACATCGTTCTAGACGTCTACCTAAACGTCGTCCTAGAGGTCGGTCTTGAGATCGCCCTAGAGGTCGTCCTAGATGTCGCTCTAGAGTTCGTTCTAGACATCGTCCTACACGTCGCTCTTTAGGTCATCCTAGAGGTCGACCAAGAGGTCGTCCTTGAGATTGCCCGAGGGGTCGTCCCACAGGTCGTCCTCGACGTCGTCTTTGACGTCGACCTCTAGGATGTCGTCCTCCACGTCGCCCTAGCAAGCAGATAAACCCGCGTCGCGCATACACGGAGCGGCAGTGCACACACATTCACGTTTGCACCCAAGCTATGAAGCAGTTATCGTTTTTTGGTTGAGCAAATTGGTGCGTGGTCAATGATGGTGGTGTAACAGCTCGAGCATTGAACGATTACACAGAGATAGGGCGAGACGCACACACGAAGATTCAATGATGGTGGGGAGCAGCTTGAACATTAAACGATTACACAGAGATGGAACATCAAACGGTTACACAGAGACGAAGCAATCACTCAATTTCGAACTGGCGCGCTTCAGTCGCGCTGACGTCAATGATTGCGTCGTAAACCATTCATATAATGGAGGGTTTACTCAAACTTTGCGCTGTCGTATTCACAGTGAACTGCGTCGTGAGTCTCATGACGAATGCTATTGCAATTTATAGACAACTAACAATAGTTGTTTTTGCAGGCAATTTTTAAAAATATTTTCCCCCAATGGTATTTGGCTCTAGTTATGGTTGCGCGTGACTGAATTTATTATTGGTTTACACACCCTGGTGCCATAGAACAAAAGACGACCTTAATCAGCACTTGAAGTCACTTTTATTGAGGCAACAACGAGTAGCTGGAGACTCCGTTGCGGTATCATCTGCTCCGTGGTAGAAAGTGGAAATAAAGGGGAAGCAACAAGACTTCTTTATTTTATAAATTATATACTATAACAATCAAGCCATACCTTTTCAGCAAAGCTGTTGTTATGCGCCAGGGTCTGAGAAAAATTGCGTTTGCGATTGTTGACAGAAAACTCCCCATTGGTCGTGGCAAGTAAAATAAACAAAAATAAAAAGAGGGGGAAACCAGCATGAGTAAGCCTTCCTTGGCATTATTTATTATTTTTATTTTATTTTACAATACTACTATACCCCAAACATAGAGGCATCGTAGGAGAGGGTTACTAAAAAAATATATGTATATATAAATGACTACATTTTGACATAATGAGCAAGTCGCTTGCAGTAAGGCGGCCAGCCGTTGCAGGAAGTTTTCAAGTGAATCTGAATTAGTGATGCTGGGGTGAAGGTTATTCCAATCGGATATAGATCGTGGGAAAAACTAATTTTTAAAGCAGTTTATAGGGACTTGGAAATTGTTTATGTATCTTGGGTGTGAAGCTCTAGTGCTAGTTCTGGTGGAGAAGCTAAACATGTCTGTGTTGATATGAAGGCTGTCCGCGATGACCTGGAAGGGAGTTTTCAGCCTGTCAGTTATCGCGCGATGGGGGAGGGGAGTCAGATCTGTTTGTTCCATTAATGATGTCGGCGAATCGTACCGCCCATATTTACTAAAAATAAATCTCAGGGCCTTTCTCTGCACCCTTTCCAATTTTCCTATATTGACGACTGTGTAGGGGTCTCAGACGACGCGTGCGTATTCCAGTGTTGGCCTAATTAACGTTTTACATGCTAGTAATTTAACTTCGGTAGTGGCGAATTTAGGTGATCGTTTCAGTTGCCAGAGTTTGTAGCTTTGGAGGTAACAGAAGCAGTGTGGGAGTTCCAGGACAAGTTGTTCGATATTGTAATTCCCAGATACTTGTACCCTGAGACGCTGTCAAGTGTATGTCCGTCTACTCTGTAGCTAAAAGGTAAGAATATTTCTCTAGTGTTATGGACATAGTTTCACACTTGGCGGAGTTCAAATTCATTTGCCAAGTCCTGCACCTGGAGGCAACCTTAGAAAGAGATATGTTTAGTTTGAACTGGTCATCAGGGGAATCAATATAAAATACAATCATCAGCAAACAATACTATATTTACATCAATAGCTGAACATAAGTCGTTAATAAACAGTAAAAATAAGGGCGGTGAAACACTAGAGCCTTGCGGTACACCGGATGTAACACTGCATCCATTCGAA